AACTTATGCAAAAGAGAGGTTAATCCCATAAACATCGGTTTATCATGTATCACCAAAGTAACAATTACGCAAATTGTTTAATCCAAGATCTTTCAATCTTTTCTCTCTTTGGTGATAGATAATAATTCGATATAAACAATATAGAGAGATGAGATGAAAAATGATTTCAAATCAAGATAGAAATCTTATAATAAACAAAAATATAAAATAAGCTCTCCCTCAAGATGTGCATACATATGGATATGAAGGAACGCATATGCACATAATCAATAAAGATCAAATAGGAAGCTCACACTATATTTTGGATCCACAAGAGAGACCAAGTTAGAATATGTGAAGTTTAATACATACCTCTCATCATTTTTACTTTTGTATCCAAATGAGACTAGTCAAAGAAAGGCTCATAAAAATGAAACGATTAGTCTCATATAGTTAGATTTGTCATTAATCAATTAAGGCACTTGAACTTACAATACTACAAAAGGCCATGCTCTTCGGTCTCCATAAATCTTTGGCTGTGTTTAGTTCAGCGCAAAGTTTGAATTTTGGTTGAAATTGGAGATGATGTGACTGAAAAGTTATGTGTGTATGACAGATTGATGTGATGGAAAAGGACTGAAGTTTAGATCCAAACTTTGGATCTAAACACAGCCTTTAAACCCTTGTCTTTCTCTCTGAGTTGATTGTTGAATCAGGCATCCTATTGCTTGCTGTTATGGTCTACGCGTACCAGTGCAGATTAAACTTTTGTGTACTTGTATCAGTTCAGTATTAGGGTTAAGACTTTGTTTACCAAAGAAAAGAAAAGCATGCAGTTTCGCACATCTTCCTTAATTGCCAAAAGAGTAAATTTCACGAAACTACATATAATTTGATCAAACTATCACAAAACTACACATTTAAGAACGTGTTTCACAAAATTACAGGTTTAGTGTTAAATTTATCACGGAACTACAGATTTAAGATATTATATCACAAAACTATAGATTTAACAACTATTTTATCACAAAACTACACATTTAAAAACTATTTATCATAAAACTACAGATTTTATAACTTTTAATAAATAATAATACTATGATCCAAGTCTAGAATATGTAGTTCTGTGATAACTTCATCACTAAATCTATAGTTTTCTGATATGGTGCATTAAATCTGTAGTTCCATGAAAAGTTTGACGTTAAATCTGTAGTTTTGTGATAAACATTCTTAAATCTGTAGTTTTGTGATAATTAGACCCCCAAAGTATCTGTAATTTTGTAAAATTTATTATTGTCAAAATCACTTGAGACCATCAAGTTCATACTATCGGTCTCATCTTTTTGCTTATACTTATACTTATTAGCTAAAATTTAAAGTTAATTTTAAAGTTTTTTCATTGAAGTTTATTTTTCAGCTTTTGCTTTTAAATCGCCAAGAACACATATATAAAAGTTTTATTCATAAATTATCTTTTGTTTGCAAATATGCCGTTTCGCTTATGCTTAAAATAAGCCAAATGGCTTCCTATGAATTCACATCAGCCAAGGTTGGTAGTTCCGTTCACCTTCTCAACATTATACCAAGCTTTGCAGTTTGCACCAGGAAGCTCCATTTCTTGCAGAAATCAGCATGGAATCTGAGCCTTTAGCATCAAGTTCATCAAGGTAAGCCAGTAAGGTATCATGGTGTATGGCCTACTTGGTGCTATTTGTATGAGTTGCTTCAGCTGAACCCATATCAAAGCTAGGCTCCTAAAATTTGTCATCCACATACAAATTTCACAGAGAAAAAACCATGATGTCATCCAATTCCCTCTTCCAGCGTCTGGCAAAATGGTGCCCGTGGTTACTGAGAGATGAGCCGAAGAAGCCTGTCAAGGTTCTTGTCACCGGCGCCGCAGGTAATACAGAACTCGGAAGCTAATCAAACACTTAAGCAGCTAAACCAAAAATACGACCAGAAGTCGAGAAAACAAATTCACTGACGACATTTTGTGCTGTTTTTTGCAGGGCAAATAGGGTATGCCATTGTCGCGATGATCGCGAGGGGCCTCATGCTAGGAGCCGACCAGCCGGTGGTGCTCCACCTGCTGGATCTGCCGGTCGCGGCCAATGCTCTGAACGGCGTCAGGATGGAACTGATCGACGCTGCGCTGCCGCTGCTCAGAGGTGCGTGACCTTGTACCTTCAAGTTTCCCTCGTTGCGCTGGTCGCCCGAGTATAAAACATGATGCTTCAATTGTGTAGGAGTGGTGGCGACGAGTGACGAGGCTGAGGCGTTCAAGGGCGTCAACGTCGCCATCGTCATCGGTGGATGGCCGAGGAGAGACGGGATGGAGAGGAAAGATTTGATTAGCAAGAACGTGACAATCTACAAATCCCAGGCCTCTGCGCTCCATCAGCACGCCGCCCCAAACTGCAAGGTGAATGACGACGCATCACGTATACGCAAGTACACAATTTCTATGCTAAAACACTACTGCTACTACGGAACAGTAAAAAAGAAACGGGCTAGAACCAATATTTATAGTGATTTTGCCGTTCAAGTGTGCACCCACGAGGTACTGTTTGAGACGATTAGCACCCATATTCATACATAATGCCGGTTGGTAATAGAAAACGACACCTATAAACTATCAGCATGTTTACATGTTTACCGTCCACCAAGTTGTACTGCCCGGTACTGGAATTGGTCGGTACCAAAACTCATCCGACCGTTCAATCCCGGATGGGTAGGATCGGGAGAGAAAATGAGCAGGGATGCGCTCAATCAGGGCGGCAGAGTTAAAGTCGTCGTTCCCAGCGCTGGTGGGCGGAGAAGGAGGATTTCTTCCCTGCGCCGAGGGGCCGAGAAGGAGTCCTTCCCGGCGCCGACGGGCGGAGAAGGAGGATTCTTTCCCGGCGCCGAGGGGGCGAGGAGGAGGAGTCCTTCCCGGCGGTGAGGGGCGGACGAAGCGGAGTTCTTCACGGCGCAGCGTGGACGAGGTTGACACACTCTTGGCGGCAGTGGTGTTGGTGGGAACCATATCACCCTATCTGCCCGACTCACATCCATCTATTGCACATAATTATATTTTTGCCCTTCCACCTTAGTTCTTAGGTCGGTACTGTACCAGGGACAGAATTGGTATCAAACTCTACCAGCCGTTGGATCGGGCCAGATCCAACGACTAGGAATTTGGTACCGCCCGGTACAAGTACCGGCCATTGGACGGTAAAAAACAAATAAACTATACTTCACGCAAATTATAGGTGCCGGTTATTTCACCCAACTAGCATCTTGGTGTGGGTCCACTGGTTATCACGACGAAGTAATTGTTGATGGCCCTCACTTAAAAACAGGCACCTATATGTTGATATAGGTTTCAATTGTGTAATCGGTACTGATGACTATTATTATCGGTGCTGCCTAACGGATGCCAGTTAAAACTTTTGATATTTATGTTGGGTTCCTAACTAGTACTCCATCCATTTCACAATATAAGTCATTCTAGCATTTTTCACATTCATATTGATGTTAATGAATCTAGATATATACATCAATATGAATGTAGAAAATGATGTTTAAATTTATTAATATCAATATAAATGTGGAAAATGTTAGAATGACTTACATTATGAAACGTATGAAACGTATGAAGTACCTATTAGGATTTCTATTATAAAGTCAAACCAGCATGATCTTGCCGGAGTTTGCAGGTCTTGGTCGTGGCCAATCCCGCGAACACCAACGCGCTCGTCCTGAAGGAGTTCGCCCCGGCAATCCCGGCCAAGAACATCACCTGCCTCACCAGGCTCGACCACAACCGCGCCCTCGGCCAGGTCGCCGAGAAGCTGAACGTGCACGTCGGCGACGTCAAGAACGCCATCATATGGGGCAACCACTCCTCCACGCAGTTCCCCGACGCCAGCCACGCCACCGTCTCGACCGACCGCGGCGAGAGGCCCGTCAGGGAGCTCATCGCCGACGAGATATGGTACGGAACTCGTCAAGTAAAAATGCATGTGTGGTAACGAGTTCTGATAGTGGCTCCACCACCATGTGTCGACAGGCTGAGGGAGGAGTTCGTCACCGACGTGCAGCAGCGAGGCGCGGCGGTGATCAAGGCGCGGAAGCAGTCGAGCTCGCTGTCCGCCGCCAGCGCGGCATGCGACCACATGAGAGACTGGATCCTTGGAACCCCAAAGGTCCATATCCCCTCCCCTGCATACCTTCCTCCGAATTCCGATCGATCACATCTAATAATTCCAGCATTTGCTCGTCCTCTCCTCATCAGGGTACGTGGGTGTCCATGGGCGTTTACTCTGACGGCAGCTATGGCGTCCCCGAGGGCGTCTTCTTCTCGTTTCCGGTGACCTGCGAGAAGGGGGAGTGGTCTGTCGTGCAGGGTGAGCTCATGGAATCCTTGTGATTCAGATACATTGCAGGATGAGATCAGCCTAAGAATGTTCGCTTTGTTCGCACTCCAGGTCTTGAGATTGACGACTTTGCACGCTCCAAGATGGAAACCTCGGCGACCGAGCTCAAGGAAGAGAAGTCCATTGCTTATGAGTTTCTCTGATCTGAACTGCAACCGAGGTCCGAAGCAGAGCTTCGGTTAATGTTTACTAAAAAGAAATCGTTGCAAGGGTTTCGTCAGTGATGTTTCTCATTGTCACGCAGTAGATGATCCCGATGATCCATGGGTGGTGTTGTTAGCTGGTGATGCTATCACGGTGCATCTCATGATTTCATCAGCATTTGTTATGTTGTGTATCGATGTTGCATACTTACATCTGTGAGTCGAAATTTCCCCCATCTGTGTTGTATACCCAGCCAACAAGGAATGCACTTGTTGTCATCTACCCCAGTGGCTGATATTTAAGAAAATAAAAATCAATTGACTGGTGAATAGCAATCCCATGAAATTTATGTTTGATGACGATTTGATTAGATTTGCTGAGTCATTGATTAGTACTGCACAGCCATGCAACAAAGACGTTACATTCATATTGCTTCAAAAGAACCAGACTGGCTCGTTAAAAGGAAATAAATTACACGTAATCACCGCAATTTTCAATTTCCAAGTTTCTGGTACAATGGCATTTCCCTTCAGCAAATAAGTTCGTTGCTGTGAGGTTCTACCAGACAGAAGATGGGACGATTGAAGCACACATCCAAATAATTGATCGTGTATACCGTACAATTTACAGGGATAGCATATCGAGCTAATGACTACAATTATCGTGGCAGATTCTTTACCACAGTTTTAACAATTAGTGGAACCAAACTGAAGCTGCAAATCAGCAGTTTGTCTGTCATCGCTGCACACTAACCAGTTCTGCTGGGTCTGAACCACCAGACTACCAGAGTGCCATGAGTTAAAGCCGGTAAGAGTATTTATCCACCACGTCTGCTTCTGTCTGATTGGGTTTACATCCCTGTTTTCTTTGCTTAACAAACATGTATTTTCCCCAGTGCAGCAAGGGACGTGCTCAATCACCCAGCATTCTCCGTTCTCAAGTTGTCTGCCTCACTACACTAGAGCTCACAAGTTTTCAGCTCGCGCTGTGACTGATCTATTGACTGGTATTCTTTGGCAGATGCAAGATGATGGAAATTCATTGAAATCATCTCTTCCTGGTCTGATATCATCCGGTTCTCCCATTAGTCCCCTCTGCACTTTCTTTACCTTCTGTGAAAATATATCCCATCCCATCTGTTTCCGTCTCTTAAATAGTAAGTTGAGTTTTTTAGCATTTGGGCGAATGGTTCTCTTGTGGCCCATGTATCGCCTACAAGTAGACAGAGATGAATGACCATTAGATGAAACAAAACCACCAACGATAGACACATACGAAAAATACATGAAAAAGGGTCACACGTAGCACTAGGGAGAAAAATAGTATAATCAGGTGGATTGCATCATACCTGAAGGCTTATCTGTTTACATTCAACTATACTTTACATTTAGAACATTTAGCAAATCCATTAGAAGATAGATGCATACCTTCGTCCAGCTAAAACCTTGGCCATGTTTCCATTATTGTTTGTAACAAAAACATCACTCCCGTCACATACGATGAAATCAATTGCAGCCAATCTTGAAGAGAACGGAAGGAACGGTTTCAAATCATTCCCAGCAAGCATTTCTTTGGTGTAGTAGTTTGGAAAGAGATCCCTCAGAGGCTGGAGAGTTTCTTCTCCCCCATATATTTCTCCAGAAGCAACATACAGGTACGTGTCATTGCTAAAACCAAGAGCTCGGAGCATCAAACCAATTTCTTGAGGAGTCAGTGGACATTTGCCCCTACTGCGCTCATCCTCAGCGCTCAACTCCTGCTAGGAATCAGTCTAAATCATTTCATCATTCAAATATTGATCCATCGGTACTAATTGATCAAAAGAATACATGGACACTCAGAACTAACAGCAGCCATTATCACTCAATAGTTTTTAAGGGAAATCTGACCCAACACATCCTTATCAGTGCAAAAGAAATAATCCACAAAAAGGAAGTGCAATACCGACAAAAATATATCCAGATCCTAAGCTCACCAAGTTTCAGAGTCTTACAGGTAGTGTATCCCATCTTTTCCTAATTTCACCTAACTCCCTCCGTTCTTTATCACCACCACCATAGTAACAACCAGAAAATGCAAGCATGTCAGGCTCAAACCTGAGGAGTCAAGCAAAAGTAAAGAGGTTATTCAAAACACTCCATATGAGTACTTTCAGGGGAAAAAAACTCAGTAGTACCATTTTCAAAGAAACTAAATCAAAAGAAACAAGTAAAAGCATACCTCAAGTGAACGGCAACGTATCGTGAGCTCATGCTCCTCAGCTTGCGCACCAATTTCTCACCTAGAGTTTGTATGGAATTTGTAAATCTTAATGCATGGAAATTTACTCGGCAGCGTAACTTCTGCAATTCTTCATCAAGCTCGTTAGTGAGCCGATAATCAAACTTTGTTAGCTGCAAAGCCTGCAAAATTAAACTGTTAAGTGCATAGGCAAACCTCTTTGCTTTTACATATCACGAGCATTCCACATACGTGTCTAATGATTTCATATAGATGTTTCCAATTATTGCATCTCCTAAACTCATACTCCCTCTGTCCCAATAAAAGTGCAACCTAGTATAGATGTGACATATCCTAGGACTACGAATCTAGACATCATAGTCCTAGGATATTTCACATCTGCACTAGGTTGTACTTATATTGGGATGGAGGGAGTGTTGAAAACAGAAAATCAGGAGGTAACTTCATAATTGACATATGAAGCTACCAAACTATCCATACCTCACAAACAATTGATTCTTCCAATGTTCAAGTAAAAAAAAAATTCAAATGTTCTTCCAAGATGCACAATATGATTAAAATGTGTCGAGGAAACAATCACAAGCAGATGATAAATTGATCAATATGAAGCAATGTATTACTTACTCGCCTTCGCATAAGGATAGGCAAAACTTCATCAATGTAAAAATCAGGCATGGATTTCCTAGGCGCACGCATGGTCCATGGGAGTTTATCCATTGACATCATCACCTCATAAGGGATTCTTTTGACAATAGTTACATCCTTTGATAGGTAAGAGATGAACCAGTCCACGTCAAAAATGTCAGAGAAGTCGCTGCATATAGCACGTACCATATCAGGGTAAGTCCATCGTGCAAGGGGGTTGATGAACTTCAGAAGTTGTCCTACTCCCTCTGTTTCATATTACAAGACTTTCTAGCATTGCCCACATTCATATAGATGTCAATGAATCTAAACACATATATGTCTAGATTCATTGACATATATGTGAATGTGGGCAATGCTAGAAAGTCTTATAATATGAAATGGAGGAAGTATAATTTTAAGGTCTCAACTTACCTATCATCCTTCCAGAATGAGTGGTGATCTAACTCAGGTACAACAAGTGTGGCATTCAATATTCGGGCGACAACAACAGCATCTGTTATCTGGAAACTGAAGATCGTAATGGTAATACAATGGATAATACAAAGCAACGCAATAAAAAGTTGAAATACAGTTGTACCCCTATGCGCTGCTGATTTAGTCCCCCGCTAGTACCAATCAGCAAGTAACCAGTAGAACTGTTCTCCGGCACAGCAGCTGAAAGATGAACATATGGAATCACTGTGTTAAATATTCTTCCACTCATCTAGTTATAATTGTCCAAAAGGGAGGATGATTTAATAAGCAAACTAACATCTGAAATTTACGCTCCTCCTGCTGCATCCATAGTACAAGTTGGAATACCTCGATTTCCAAATATTTATGGGCTCGTTATTTCTAACCTGCACATTGCCAACGTTGTAAGGAAGCATTGACCAAGAACTGAGACAAATAACATGCTGATAATGACAGGACAACAGTAAACAATAATTTAAGGACTTATCAGGCAGGTGCTCACGTAGTGACTCGTAAAACCTCTGACTACCCACAACTTGCATACTATTTCCAGGTAAACCGTATGCAACAACTATATATATATCCCAAAAATTAAACTTTTTTCCGTTCAGTAGCTTTCAGTTAGTTTCCAACGATGCTGTGGTATAGGCGTGCCCACCCCAGAAAACAGACAAACTACGTCCATTTACTCCTATTGCACTCGAATATCACGTGAATTCTAAGTGGTGCCGATAAATCCCGTCAAATTATACAGTACAGACCTTCTAGGTTGTCAGAAAATTACCTGCTTGGATCGCCACCGGCTCCGGATCCGGGACCAGTCGGCGTCCGTAACGATGTGTCCCGTGAAGAGGGACACAAACCCTAGGACGAACAGCGCCGTTCCCAGGAAAACCGGCGACGGCTGCGTCCTCCTCGCTGCCCTCGGCGAGGCGCCGCCACCGTAGTGTGGCTTCGACGGATCAGGCTTCCTCCCCATCCCCCCAACCCCTCTCCCCTAAATCCCGTGCCCCTCGACTGCCTCTGTACGGAGGCCCGCCTTCCTCCGCGCTCCGTCGACGCCGGGGGTGCGAGAGCCACCGCGCCGCGCTAGATCGCGGAGGCACGGGAGCTCGCGGATGGTGCGGCCATGGCGAGAGGACGAGGCGGCCGGTGGTGTTAACGGGGACGGGAGGACCAGCGATAAGGTCCATGTGCTTTTTGGGCCCTTTCCATTCCGTTTCGTGTGACGGCCCAAGTGTATTCTACATGGGCCTAATTCAATCCACACCGAAAACGTTAGGCTAGAACGCGAGCTGGGCCGTTCGCTTTGAGCACTCCGCAGACGGCAAACCGCGCTTAGTCGCTGTTGCAGCATTGGCCCATCACGGCAGACAGGTAGAATATGCAGAGGGCTCTGGTTCACTTTGCTGTTAAAATCAACATTATCGAATTTTAGCAATACCAACATTTCTCAAGTTTTGGTATTATTAAATTGTGGTAGCGTAGGATGTGCGTTAGTTTGATACCTTTCTAATTTTTTGATAGTTTTTTTGTGAGAGGGAATTCCAAAACTACCAAATTTTGGTAGGATGAAGTTGGTGATATCATGTTTAGTTTTTTTTTAAGGAAAGGAAGAATATTTGTCTTATATATTATAATAGAGATGGTGAATAAAAGCTTAAAATGAAACAATGTAGTGGGCATGCCCGCATGGGAAAGGGAACCATGCCCATAAAAGACTTTTCTATATAGTGTCTTCCAAGCCATCGAACTCTTTTCTATGTAGTGTCTTTCAATTTTACTGCCCTTGCTTTACTAGGCTCATGCTTCCTCTTTTATATTTGTGATTAGAGTTTGAGGGGTCCATGCAATCTTCCTGAAGATTCTTGCGTTGCGTTTAGTTTATTGTCTTATCAAAATTTGATACGGTCAAAATGACAATAATACGGACAAGCCTATATTTAGACGCTAGGAAACCAAGCAAAAGTGAGAGGATTTGCATTAGATGGTGTAAAGCGTCTTTAGGAGGGCGCTACGATCGTACGATATGCTTGCATGGGAGGAGGTATCCACTTTATTATACGCTACGATCTCATCCTGTTGGACACTTCTACACCACGCCTCTTGTCCTACTCCCACTAGTAACTGCACAACGTGTTACTACACGTCACGAAGGCTGATCTGCCATCTGAAAAAGCGATGCATACGCATGCAGTGCACAGCACAGCTGTTCCGATCATCGTCTGGGCACACATACATCTGCCACCCTAACAGCAGGCACCGGAGGCAGCTAGCAGCCGCTTGCAACTTGCAACGAATCCACCCAACTTGCAACGGAGTTCTTGCAGCCTGCATTGCTGCACATGCGTAAAAGTAAAGAGAACATCTAGGGGTAGTAAAACGTATAGTACAGTACTGTAAAATGAAGAAAGGAAACAGAACACTGGTGTCAGCGGCAGTAGTACAGTGCGCGGGCGCGAGTAACCAAGGACGTGAGGTGAGGCAGCCAAAGGCAGCAGCACCGTCGCAGGGAATGGCGCAGGAAGCGGCCAAAATAGGCGTACCCGTACGTGCTGCACCGTATCCTCCCCAACGCCCAGCACGGGGATGTTATTTCCCCCAAAGCACAGACATACCCCCCATTCCCCAGCCAATAGGCACTGGGCCGCCCTGTAGCTGACACTGACAACTGGACCACCGCCGTACTGGGCCCCACCCCCGCCCGTCGCGCTGCATGCATGTACACACCCACGACCTGCCTCGCAGGCTTTTTTTTTTCACTGCCCACCAGGTACGTACCCCATGTCCCATGTACTCCACCGCGTAGCTCTGTGGATGCCTCTATGACATGTGGGGCCATGGATAGAATGGGCCCGTCGACAGGTGGGCTGCTGCGCGGTTGTCAACTGGTGCGTTGGCTGGGAGAATCTATCGTGCCGTCCGGTTCCGGATATGGGTGGGATCTTTGCGCAAGTGGCTCCCGTGATCCGTACGGACGCGGGGCACGGCTCGCCGACAGGTGGGGCTCGTCCGGTGGCACCAGAGGTGTTGGCCCGGCGTGTCAGTGTCGGGGGAGGCGCGCGCTATTGGTTGGTTGGTTGACGCGCGGTGCGCGGATGAGCGTATTGTCACACAGCGCGCGGCGTTTAATGCCGTGGCAGTCATGTCACGGCGCAGCAGCAGCGGCAGAGGCAGCGGCAGCGGGCGAGGGGGGGCCCGCCTTCGATTGAACCTGTCAATGACACAGCTCCATGTGGCGGTGGCCCCACATGTCACGAGCCACGCTCGTGACCCCACCACACACCCCAATCCTGACGGGAGATCCCACATGTCAGTACGGCGCGTGCTTCCTCGCCAGTAGGCTGCTCCTCCCCGGGGGTGCGCTTCGCTTCACAAACCCTCGCTGCCTGGCTGCTTCGCTTTATATGGAACGCCAGTGCGGCAAACCTACTCGCTGTACTTACAACCGCCGCCGCAGCCTTTTTCCCAATCGGCGCTAGTTTTCGATCCGCCGCCGTCGGCCGGAGCGAAGCCAAGCCCGCGCGACCAGGTGGCTGCTGCTGTGTAACGACGCTAGCTAGCTTAGCTGCGGTACGTTTACACATAGGTCCGTCCGTGTGCGGCTGCCACCATGGAAGGAAACGGCTGCGGCGGAAGCGGGGCGACACCACGTGGTGTCGTTGGGATGCACTGGGCTCCCGTCGTCACCTCGCCGCCTAGCCCGCAGCCGCCGTTCCTCCCGCCGGCGCCATGCAGGCCCGACGTCCAGATGCAACAGCAAGGCGGGCTGACCTGCCTCAAGCTCGGGAAGCGGCCGTGCTTCTGGGGTGGCGACGGCGCCGGCCAGGTGGCGCAGGGGAGCGGCGGCGGCGGAGGCGGAGGCGGTGGTGGTTCCGCGGATCAGGGGAAGAGGAAGGAGAAGGCGGCGACGGCGGTGCCGGTGGTGCCCCGTTGCCAGGTGGAGGGGTGCGACATTACGCTCCAGGGAGTCAAGGAGTACCACCGGCGGCACAAGGTGTGCGAGGTGCACGCCAAGGCCCCGAGGGTCGTCGTGCACGGCACCGAGCAGCGCTTCTGCCAGCAATGCAGCCGGTGCGTCAATCACCACGATCTACGTCACATGTCTAGCTCTGCTACACGCGTGCTCATAGCGGTCTTTCACTTGTACGCGCAGGTTCCACGTGCTCGCGGAGTTTGACGACGCCAAGAAGAGCTGCCGGCGGCGGCTGGCCGGGCACAACGAGAGGCGGCGGAGGAGCAACGCCAGCGAGGCCATGGCCAGGGGCTCTGCGCACCCACACGGTATACACAAAACAAACTCCTCCCGTCCCGGCCGTAACAGTTCCATTAATCATCATACTACTAGTACGTGTAGTACGTACGTACTACTCCCAGTAATAGTTAGGGAGACCAATGGAGAGGCAGGTTAGCTGCACAAACAGGAGCGTACCACTCCCAGTAGTAGGAGTACTGGTTGGTTTGATGCCGGGAAACAAGGGGAGAGCTGCAGGTGCGCACCAAAAAGCTCATCGGGATGTGTGAGACGCTGAGAGCACAGATTTTAATGCACGACTTTATGTGCACTGCGCTGCCTGCCTGGCCGGCCCAGCCAGCCTGCTTGCTTGGAGTGGCAGTGGCTGCGTGGCCACTGGCCAGGCCGACCGTGCATATGATCACCATGGCATCAACAGGAACCCGCGCGCCGGGTGGTCGCTGCGCACGCAACACGGCAAACAGTGGTTTCATCCATCCATCTTCCACTCCTTATCAAGAGCCTGTATGCTTACGGAAATCTATACTACTACGTACTAGTACTACTACTCCAGTACGCATGTACATACATACGCGTACAACTGTACAGTTAATTACGAATAGTTACTGTACGAAGGTATAGTGCTATAGCGGGACTGGCCGAAAGACTTGGACATACGGCGGTCGAATTTCATAGCGGCATTCTAGGATATTCAAGCGTGTATTGATTGATATTGATATGCTTTCATGAGTATAGTTGTACTACTGACCTTCAAAGGTAAGCACGGCTCTGCAGTTCAGAAACCTTGTATATATGTATACTCCTTTTGTCCCATAAAAAAACAATATAGTGTCAGATATGACTTATTCTAATACTACGAATTTTGATATACATCTGTCCAGATTCATAGATTTATTTTTATAGGAAGGAGGGAGTACTCCTTTTAGTCTACCACTACCTTTCTCTTGTTCTGAGAAACTATTACTCCTGCAGTAGAAAATACAGTACATGGTACTCCTGCTGCACTGACATAGATCCTGTAGATGAACATGCCTTATATTCTGTGATAACTTATGTACTCCAGTATTTATGTGGACTTTGATTTGGAGTAGGTCCTTCTGGCTGTCTTACAGAGAAATATTATGGAATGCAAGATTTAAGTTAGTTGCCTCAAACAATAAAGACATTAACAATCGTAACCACCACAAACTTTCGTGTCAACATAATCAACAACAGCATAATGGGCCTATCTTGGTTAACAATAACATTAGTACGTATTACCATGGACCTAAACTTGACATCAAGGTCGAGTGCACGTTTTTACTATGCTAGTGACCCAAAGCCCATCAGCATTATTGACCACTTGAAACCTGTTATTTGATCAACACATAGACATGATGTTGTGGAAGATCAGGTAGCGATCAGTTTGTGTAAAGATATATAGTATAGTATCAATTAGTTGTACCCGGTGAACATGCATGGTTGGTTGGTTTTAAACTTTGTAAATTTGGTTGCAAATGATCAGGGCAAGCATGCAAAAATGATTGCGGTTGAGTAACCACTTCGTTATTAGGACTGATGGTGTGCATTATGCTTTCTTGATATGACTATAACAGATGGCCACATTTCTGTAGGCACAATGATATGCATAATAACGTGTCGACGTTGTTGTTGCAGGTATGCCGGTGCTGGGACACGGTTTCCCGCCGTACGGCCTGCCGACGTCGTCGGCTGGTGCTCTCTCTCTTCTGTCATCGGCTAGAGCCACCGGCCCATGGCTGATGCCGACGCCCGACATCTCCGCCCGCTCAAGCGCGGCGCTCGACGAGCTCATCGCCGAGAACCGCGCGGCCCTCCTCTCGTGGCAATTCTTCTCCGACCGACAGCCGCCACCAGCTGGCCGTCCAACGGGCCGCAGCCCGGGCTCCGAAACGGCCGGTGGCTGGCACGCGCACCTGCAGGCGCGGCCGCCACCGCCCGGCGCCGGAGGGCAGCACGAGAATCAGTCGGGGCACGTGACGCTCGACCTCATGCAGGCCACCACCGCGGCAGGAGGCAGCGGCGCGCCGTTCCGGCCCGTGCCAGCGAGGCCCCCCAAGGAGGGCGGCGACGCCGGCTGCACCTCCGACGCGTGGACGCCGTCGCCCATGGAGGGCGCCCGCGTGGTCTGAGTGTCCGACCTGCCAGCCGCGACGTCGCCGCGCGTGCACCACGGTCCCTAGCTCCCGTGTCAGCTGGGCGTGGGAAGCGATCGATCAGTGGTGGGCGCGCGCGCACGGCTGGAGCTCTGTCCCGACGCCGCGCGCAGCCGTGCAATCAACTTGAGTTCGTTGGACAATAGTGTCTCGTCTCGTAGCAATCTATCCCGATGTAGCAGTACTGGTGCAGTGGTGGTGGTGGTGCCACTAGCTAGCAATGTTCTATTTTTTCGCTCTGCTTTTCTGATGGATTAGAGGCCAATTGGGTGGACATTATTTGGTGGTCACGGGCGTGTTTCTGCCATGATGTCGTGGGGGGAGCGACGAAATGCTGTCGTTCTCTGTTCTCCTCTTGAGGGGAATTCCAACCCAAGCTGCAGACCCCAAAGCCCTCCGCATGATCACAGTTCGACGTGTGAATTGTGACCGATGCTACCTCCGGCGCCAGACACTAAAACTACATGGCGCTTCTCCCGTGATAGTCACGTATTTGTTCGGTTTTCTTCAGTGACAAAACGTGTATTGTGACAGATACTAAAACTATGGATGTGATAATGCGATCTTATCAGGTCGTCGCATTGGGTTCTAGAAGACAGAGACGCGGTCACTGTGCGATAGTGCCTACTAGAGCGAATCCCCCAGATCCTCTCGATCGGCGGCAATGTCAGGCGGGGTTTGTTGGATGTCATGTCGGACTACAAAGTCACTGATTAGTAAAACCAAACAGTGACAGTACGTTTGGTTACTGTTCTCTTGTCCCTAACATTTTGGGTGTGTTTAGTTGGGAAAAAGGAAATTTTTGGGTGTCACATCGAACGTTTAACCGGATGTTGGAAGGGGTTTTCGGACACGAATGAAAAAACTAATTTCAGAACTCGCCTGGAAACCGCGAGACGAATCTTTTGAGACTAATTAAGCCGTCATTAGCACATGTGGGTTACTGTAGCACTTATGGCTAATCACGGACTAATTAGGCTTAAAAGATTCGTCTCGCGATTTCCTCCATAACTGTGCAATTAGTGTTTCTTTTTATCTATATTTAATGTTTCATGCATGTGTCTAAAGATTCGATGTGATGTTTTTGGGAAAAATTTTTGAGGAACTAAACGGGCCCAAAGTTGGTTCCGAATAATTTGTGCTACCCACATCGGCCATTGCTTTGATGATTAACAGCTCGCGCACGGCGCACCGGCTGATATTTTCAGGAACCTAAGACCAACACATCTTTGTCTTAGATCGATGCTCCTGGCCTAGCTATTTGTACCAGTGACCCTAAGACCGGCTACACTTGGCACAGATCAGCAGGTTCGTCAGCCCTCCGGAATACAACAGTATGTTCTGTCAACTGTCACCACATTAGATGGCTCTTCAAATTAAATTTTAGCCAACACAGTGAAAAAACTCTCTTCCAAACGAGTTCCTCGGGTGGCCAAATGTGGCCAGGCTCCTCTATTTACCAAACGAAGGGTCGCATTATCAGTCCCACCTTCAATCCGTTTCTCCGTCTCCTCTCTTCTCTGCCAACGCCCACCCTCGCGCTGATGCATCGCTGTAAAGGAAGAAGGCCAATCGTCAATGTCTCCTTTAACCTCCTCATCCCTAAGCTTGACTCCTCACTCGGCAATCACCTCCCCACGCCACCGACAACTCCCACCACAAGGGCCGCGTGGAGGCAGTGGCCTGGCTTGGCCTGGCCTGCACGCGACGGTGAAGGGTGTCAGAGTGGCAGAAGCGGGAGCCGGGAGCTCGGAAGGGAGGTGACCAACAAAGGATGAGAGGATCACCATAGCCCGTCGTTGCCACCGTTTTCCCCAACCTCCGCCGCATTGCCATTGTCTGCATCTCCATTGCTGGTGCGTGCGTCACCGCCCCTTCTTGCTCTTCCCTGTGTCGATTCCCACTGCTGGCGGCAGCAGTAACACCATGACGCCTTATCTCCCCTCACCTGCCCCGCCCTTATCCCTGCTTCCCCTTGTTGGCCACCTCGTCGTTGTCGCCCCCTACTGTCGTCGGGTGGAGAGGGAAGATGGTTGGGATGGGAAAGATAGAAGAAGGGAGGAAGAAGTAAAGAGAGGGTGACATGTGATACCCATTGTTGGATTGAGAGTGAAATGAAAAGGTTATTGGAATGAAAGATAAATTTGGCAAGCTGGCCAGATGGATATTTGGAGAGGTGATAGAGATGCTCCAACTATTGCATGTTTTGCACATACTCTCTAAAATTAGCTTGAGATATGTGCATTGATGTGATATTAACATAACTATGTTAAATTGCAAGATAAGAATTATTCATGCATGTTATAATTGAACACCCAATTAAATAACCACCATATGATGTGTACGCACACACACACACCATCGGTTTTTCATTCATTAAAAGTGCAACTGAAAAAGGGCATTAAAGTATGGTTTTGAGCCTGCATACATCTATAATAACATTATAATGGCAAACATGCAACAAATCCCCCCTGACTTTTCCAGAAACAAAAAACAAACCCTCCCCCCCCGGCTGATCAATAATTAGTATAGGAGGCAACCTAGCTAGTTCCAACTTTGCTCCCGTAGCTCAAACCAAGCATCCATGCTGGGCTATATATTCGCAATTTATTAGGAGTATACAACATTTTGCCCTCATATAAGAAAAAAATTAATTAGCACGTACAGACGTTTATTTTGACAATGTTTAATTTGTATGCAAGTCCCAAATACAAATGACATTGTAATATGATATCTCTTAAATTAGGGTGCTTTTTCGAGAGTTCATGTGTAGATATCATTACTGGAGAAACCATCTTTGCCCGGTCGACCAAAATTCACAATACTCCCGGTCTAAGTAAGAAACAGGACTAAAGAATAACTTTAGTCCCGGTTCAAAAAGCCAGGGTACATTTTGATCTTTAGTCCCAGTTCTACAAATCGTCAGGCCGGCGTCATGCTTACATTATCTTTAGTCCCGGTTGGTAAAGATCAATATTTAGTCCCGGTTGTTTATACCAACCGGGACAAAATAAAAATCCGGATCAGCCTCTCCGCATCGTTCTCCCCGCCCCGTTACTATATAACAAACACTTAGAAAAATCTCTCTTAGCTGGCTCCTCAGCTCTCCCTCTCTCTCAGCGGCGCGGTGACGGCGGCGGCGGCCTCCCCTCCACCGGATCCGGGAGGGGCGGCGGCGGTGGCGGCCTCCCCTCCGCCGGATCTGGGAGGGGAGGTGGCGGAGCGAGCTAGCCGGCGGGCGGCGAGCCAAGCAACCGGGGAAGTGGCGGGGCGGCAGCAGCGGCCTCCCCTCCGCCGGATCCGGGAGGGGAGGCGGCGGCTGCGGTGGCGCTGGGGCGATGCGAGGGTGGCGGCGGCCTCCCCTCCGTCGGATCCGGGAGGGGAGGTGGCTGGGCGGTGGCTGAAGGCGGGAGGCCGGCGGCGACCTGTGGAGCATTTTTTATTTTTTTTAATTGATGTGTAGGTTTTTATTTTTGTTGATTTGGGGATGATTTTGTGATGATTTGTGGATTGTGGATGGACAGTGAATTGATGTGTAGATTTTTTTTTGATTTGGGGATGATTTTGTGATGATTTGTGGATTGTGGATGGGCATGTATTGTGTATGATTTGTAAATGATTTTTGTGGATGATTTATGTGTGTGATTTTGTGTATGATTTGTGTGATTTTTGTGCGATTGTGCACGAGATGCAAACAACAAAACAACAGTGGAAACAGAAAAAAAATCCCTTAGTCCTACCAACCGGGACTAACAATGATTTTTAGTCCGGTTTATTTTAACCGGGACTAAAGATGGATATCTTTATTCCCGGATCTCTAGTTTCGGTTGCATAACCGGAACAATAGAGGATTACAATCCGAGAGTACAAAGCATTTCTCCGGCAGTGTATGATACGAAGTCATGGAAGGTTGATGCTATCTAGTATCATTTCTGACACAATGTCCTACCATATTATTGTGACTAATGGCATTCTCATGCTACTCCACAACGTTATTTGAATGGATGACTAGCCATTTGTGTTTGCCTTACCAACTGTTTACAAAGCAACCAATATGTGCCATTTGGCCACCACAACCTATCACATTCAAAGTGGTGAACGGGCATGCATAGAGATGGGTATTGGCATGCTATTTGTTCTATCATGCATGCTGTGCATACTGGCATATCATCGACCCCACAAGAACAAGCACAACATGGACTTGATTAATTAGCTTGCCAAAACGCTTAAAAAAAATCTCCAACGGGCAATGAATGAACACGTAGTACATGAATGTGAGCATGGCACTCGATCGAAGTTATCAGGGACAGGGACACATCGTTCCCCATGCTTTGACACTATGAAAGATATGGTACATGGCATAGTGCAGGGGAGCACTATCCAAACGATAGATTCAAGTATCTACAAATGCAAATATCTTCCGTCCACGTCGTTGGGCCCGGCGTAGCTGCGATTCTTATCTGCTCAAACTAATATAAGGGAGCAAGCTAGGATAGCTCTAGCAAGTGCTTCAAAAAATCGATCCTTCCTATTAACTGCTTAGAAACAAATTAATAATTAAAGCTCATTGTCTTTGGCTCTCTCCGGCCGACACATGTAGTAATCACTAGTTCACTACACATTGTACACTTGGGATCCATTCCTGATCTCTTTTATAAAAAAAAACTAATTAATTGCTAGGTTTGCGTACATACACACATAATATATTAAAATTATTTGACACGATCACACATTTTAAATATGACTTTTAATTATTCATCTTATTAAGGTATTATATGAGCTCTATTTATTTTGTTGTAACTTGTTTTTTTACGAAGTATTTTAAGCATGACTTCACATTTTATTTGCACTAAATTTTAATGAAATGGATGGTTAAACGCCATTACAAAAGTAATCAACAACACATTTTGAGAAAAAAACAAACGTACGGAGTACTAAGGGCTTATTTGGTTTGGAGCAATTTTATCGGAATTTTAAAAGAATGAAGTGTACCCTATAAAAATCCTATGAAATTCATGTATTTTGAATGAGCCATAAGTAAATTGTCATGGCAGCTAGCTAAAATAATTAATGTAATCCCGGCCACTCACCACCCAGTAGAATTGAAATCACGGATGGATGGAGAAATCTATAGAAACAAAACAAACATGTATTGTAAGATAGGTCTCTATCCGAGAAACGTCTAGGGTGTTTGGGCAGCTCCACAGGATAGTGGGCTAGATGACCTAGGCTCGAAGCCTAACATTTTCTAATTATTTGATATTAGGTCATTCCCTAATATTTACATCTTTAGATAGGTCTCTATCCCAACTGCATAAAAATACACGGTCTCTTAATTAATTAGGATTATTTTCCTTTAGAAACTGCGTTCGTAGAGATTAGCAATTGCGCATCCACCAGCTGCGACAGCCACAACGAGTTGTTTTCTAGTAGTAATAAGATACTAAGATATCCACTGCACCACCATTAACACGGGAAACAATTTTTAGGTTGAGTTTGTTTGGACAGTTAGACTAGGATTTTTTACTACAAGCATACTCCATCCATCCAAAATAAGCATGCTTTTAGCCTCTTTCATTTTTACAAAAAAATAACTTTATTTCCATCTTCTCACCTATTCCAAGTCCACAAAACAATGAGTTCGATTCCTTTAATATCCCACACCAACCCTCCCATAAATACTACTTTTGTATTAATGTACGACACTTTAGTCGTTTTCCAACTAGTTTTGAGCATCCAAGATCAACATGCAAAAAGAAAAAAAACATGATTGAGTTTTTCTTTCATAACTATATAGATGACATAGGAGAAACAAGGGGATATCCTCTTAAGAGTCCAGAATACAATCCCCACTGACGCCAATTACTAAGCGCACTTGAACTCCATCGACCCGCGTCAGCAAGATGATGGATTCGTTGCCTGGGCGCCTGCTTGTTGTAGACCTAGCATAGCTTCCAGTCAATTCCAGTGATGCTACCGGTTTGCTGCTGAAGAATAGCTATTCCCTCTATTTTTGAATAATTGATAGTTTTGATCAAACCATTTGTTTCAAAATTGTTTTCACCACCACACTTTTATTACTAAAATCCCAATTTTGCCCCTACTATCCTATACCTCTATTTTTGAATAATTGATAGTTTTGATCAAACCATTTGTTTCAAAATAGTTGTCACCACCACACTTTTATTACTAAAATCCCAATTTTGCCCCTACTATCCTATATCTACACTTTTGGGCCTAAATAAATCTTCCACCATAGAGTAAGCATCTAGATAGTTGTCTTTTCCCTCAATTCCTTTCCCTACCTCAACTTTATTCATTTTTAGCGTCATCTTCTAACAATTGCCAAGGGCAAATTGGCCATAAATTTTGTTGTCTTGTTTTATATGCTATGGTCAAAATGTCAATTATTCAATAATGGAGAGAGTAATAGAAGACAACAAACATCTAGGTTTGGGCTACAAGATCCAAAAAACGCACTCCGCATCCACTGCTACTTAGGTACACTGGACTATCTTTCCATCGATGTCCGCCCACGGATGATAAAGGAGGCCTGACAAACTCCCACGACCGAGGATTTCAACACACCCCCAACAAAAGGGATGCCGCCCATGGCTAGCTGAGACTATGAGGGTCGGGTTGGAGATTGACAACGATTAGTAGCTAGGTTTCACCCATGTGCCACCCGTGTAGGCGATACCTACGAGTGGAATGTCTGGCTAGAGTCCTTGTCTAGTTTTATTGTATGACAACGTATACAAGATGGATATGATTAGCTACTTACACTACTACAGAACAACTTATTCGTACAGTCCTTTTACTATTGGATGAAGAAAACCTGGCACTGATAAGGAGTTTCGCATCCACCCACCCAATCTGTGCCCAATATAGCTAAGAACCGACATAGATAAGTAGTCTACTTATGAGTGTCATTTTCTATTATAAATCGTCACTGATGATTAGTCATTACTCATTAGTGTGGGGTCTTTAAGTAAAACTGGTACTTGAGCCAACCGAGCTAATGGTTTTTTACTCGAGTTGATATCTCCCTTATCTCCTGCACATCCACTCTCTCTCTCTCTCTACCTTATCTTCTACATATACATCCCCACAACCACACTCTCTTCCCTCTTGGTGTCTCCATTCTCTCTCGATCTCCACAATCATAGGAGCAGCAGCCTTAGCCTCGGCAAGCAGTGAGAGCTGTGGCGTCCTTGACCTTCAGCGAGAAACAACGGCTTCGCCGACCTTGGCATGCTATCCATTTGAGAACTCGAGCAATTTCTTTTGTTGGGACATGGATGATGCATGTTAGGATCTGTGATTCACATATTTTTCTTTTTTTTTATTTTTCTTCTTAGTTGGGGTTCCTTAACTTAAGTTGACGGTGGAACCCCTTTGAACACCCCGCCTAAATGGGAAGGAAGCTCTAGAAAAGGAGCTCACAGTTCCTCAATAATAGACTCGCACCTGGGAGAAGGGGATCAAATATATAAGGTTGAATGAATGGAAAAAAAAAAGAAGAATAAGTTTGAACCCGAGTGAGTATGGACCATACGCTCATCTTTCGTCTCAATCTACACCTCGTTCCGCGAGAGCCCTATCCTCGTTTCGAAATAAAGGACCGTAGTGAGGATCGATCCCGGATAAGTGAGTCAGTGTAGGGACAGAGGCTAATGATTCTAAAGGTGATTTAAAACTAGAAGATGACTTTATTTGAAAACGAAATCCAAATATCAACAAAAAGATGGATGCACAATCTTCTATTTTTTTTTCTAATTTTCTTATTTGTTAGGATCTGTGTTTCACAATTTTGTTGATTCATGCATCAATCTGTCTAAATTGATTTTTTTTTCAATTGCTGATCTGGGCATCGATACATGATATGTGATTTGGACCGCGTCATCTCAATTCAAGCTGGCTCAACCTTTTTTTAGCTCGTCAATCCCATTAGTGCCTATTCTCTACATCGACAATGAGGTCGAGAGGCCATCATTGCATCGATTGTTGTGCTGGTTGGGAACCCAGAATAGACGAGGGTTCACAACCGGCACAATAGACCCCTTTTATTTGTAGTGTTTAGCTGCTTGCAGTATGTTTACAATCTTTAAAGCTATACTTGCAACTACAATCTTATATAATACTCTCTCAATTCCAATTTGATTATCACCAAAGCAAAGAGCATCGAGTCCAAAGACAATAAAACCTCGATGGCTCTAAAATTAATTATCACTAATCAATGTGTTCCATCGCTTTGTGTCCCACAGCTTGCATCACACTATAAATGTTGCATGGAGTTGAACCAATAGAAATTAATCTTAACTAGTTACATGCATACCAACACATTCAGTGATGTCCATTTACTCTTTTCACAAATAAATGAAGAGGCACTTATTATATAGGAGTACGATCATTTTAGGGATAACTCAAAAATCATATGTGATGATCAAATTGGAATGAAAAGAGTAGTCCTTTTAGTACTCCTCTAGAACTCTAGAGATAAATCTGGACATATTTTTGGGACGGAGGAAGTAGATGCTATGAGCTAGCTAGCAAACAGTGTCAAAAGAAATAATTAAACTTCGGTTATGATTAAGGAACAACGCTTGTTTGGTAGTAGTACGTGCAAGATAGGTAGCTAGCTAGGCTAGGGAGAAGAAAGATAACTCCACATACAGTGTAGAAGACGAGGGAGAAAGAAACCTAGCTACGATCCCGCGATGTCTGGTCTGTTTAGCTACATGACACCTAAAAAGGACCAGATGGTGTACATATGCACAAGAGTAGGGTCAGCTGCACCGCTGGTACTGTGGGCGAGCTAGAGCTAGCTACCACACACAGCTAATTTGGTCCTGCCGTCATCTACTATTAATTCCACTTAACTAAACTTCCCCTCATAATTAAAGTTTTGTCTTATGGCTACAGTTCATCCCAGTAGAGATCTGAATCAATATATAGAGTACTAGCTAGGAATTAAATAATCGCCAAGTGATCAGGTACGGCAAGACTGACTAAAATATTTGAATAACGGACAGTGCTGTATCAACAGGCTCATTGATCAGAGATTCAGAGTATTTAGGAGTATCAACGAAAGGACAAATGGGAGAACATGATCAGTGATGGCATTCTGGAGCAGCAATGTTGCTGATACTGGGCTGTTGTGCGCATGCAGTTTGTTGCTATAGGTAGCAGAAGGATTTGCATTGCCATCCAATCGAGGCAAAAGCAGGGGCTAAATGGATCTTGGCCACAAGCTAGCTACTCGTAGAGAGGAGGCCGTGCAGAGCTTGAGGTTTGTGTAGGAGCATGTCTTTGTCGGCCACTTTGGGTCTTTGGGTACGATTCGTTGACCCCTACATCGACATGGCTCGGCTTGGCAGCATGCAACGTGCGTGATGGCCAGTTGCTCCTCAGTTCCCCGGCCCCAAAACTACATGAAGTATAAAGATAAAGAAAATGCATGCATGCATCCTGTTGTTTCTAACAAGTTCAGGAGAAATTAATAGCTCATCTGAAATATTCCACCACACACAAGGTGTGATCAAAAGATGTAGGGATTACCTACATGCATGCATGTGATATGAGCTACTAGCAAATCGCTGTTAGAAAGAACCCGGGAAGATAACAAGAGATATATATGCAGTAAATTATCCAAGATACTAGAAAAGCATGCAAGCATAACGCAAGAGAAACACAAGCCAAGAGTGCAACATTTCAGGTAACAGGCCCCCTTAAAAGACCCTAACACACACAACTAGATACAATATGGAGTACGCACGTAGTATATGCACATCGATCATCAAACTAGCGGCTAGCTAACGAGTCTATATAGCCTAAGCGATGACGACTAGTACTGGGTGACGGCATGGGTGACCTAAACAAACAAACTAACACAAGACGTCCTTGAGCAGCTTGTACCTTCGGCCGGCCGCCTTGGTCCCCCGCCGCCCGCTCTCCTGCTCGCCGGCGCCGGGCTTGCCGCCGCCACCCCTTCCGGCGGAGGAGCTCGACGTCGTCGTGGATGACTCCTGGCTTCCGGCGCCCTGCTGCTTCCCGGCCGCCGACGAGTACCTCGCCTTCCCGGCGACGTCGCTCAGGCACCAGTCGCACATGTCGGCGCCGGCCGGGGCGGGCGCCGCGTCACCGTAGTAGTTCGTGCAGTATCTGCACGCGCGCCACAAGTCTATCAGACATGCATGGATACACAGACACCGCACAGACACACGCACACACACCCCGTGTTCGCTGCTAGCTCTAGATAGAGAAGAGATTACAGTGGTAGAGAGTACACCGGCCGGGTCGCGCGTTACGTACGAGTGCTGGAAGCGGTAGCGGCAGCGCGCGCACTGGAAGAGCTTGTCGGGGAAGCCGACGTCGCCGCACATGGAGCAGACGGTGCCGGCGCCAGCCATGGTTGGGAGAGCTAGCTTAGCTAGCTTGATGAGGAGGTGGGGAGAGGAGGAGTGGAGATGCGGGCGGATGGGAATGGAGGAGATGGAATCATGGAAAGGTAGGGACTACGAGTCCGGTTATTAAATAGTATGAGAGAGATATCTGGAGAGAGAAAAGGGGGGATGTGAGTGTGTACGTGCGTGCATGCGAAGAGAGGAAGAAAAAAGGTGGAAGGGAAGGAGAGGCTCGCAGTCGTCGCAGGGGGAGGGGGCACGCGACAACCTTAAATCCAGTGACCAGGGAGGGAGAGTACACGTCGATCTCAAAGCAGGGATTCGATCGCTAAAATCTCTGGGAAGTTTGGTAATCCGAATCAATCGGCGCACGCGATCGAAGAAGCTTTAATTTCAACTTCCGGAGACCCGAGACCAGGAGAGGATCGGAGGACAAATTAAGCGCGGCGAGAAATCAATGGACCGGTGTGCGTGCGTGAAACTTACTGGTATAATCAACATGCATGGGCTACTCGATCTAATTATGTTTGCCCGCCTGTGCAGGTCTGTGTCAGCGGAACCGTGCACGCCGGCCGTCCACCCCCGCGCGCGTGTACGTGCGCAACGATGAGTCTCGGCTGAGTCGGTTCTCGATCGCGTTACGCTTTCACGTAAGGTCATCGAGAAAAAGACATTCCAAGGAGATCAGAAAGGTACGAGTACTCCTAGCTCTTAGCTAACATAATTAACTACTATATGGAGTTAACTCCTAGCTCTCGATCATATCTTTTCGGTAACCACGATTCGACGCAGAATCATGCATACATATATCTAGAGATCAAGTATTCAAGTACTAATTAATTCCCCTTTGCCTTTTTCTGTGGGCGCATATACTAAGGTATGGGCATGTTTAGATCTCTTGATAAGTTTTTTCACATATCACATCGAATGTTTAGACACATATATAAAATATTAAATATAGAAAAAAAAACTAATTATACAGATTATGTGTAAATTGTAATATGAATCTTTTAAGCCTAATTACTCCATGATTTAACAATATAGCACTATAGTAAACACTTACTAATGGCAGATTAATTATGCTTAATAAATTCATCTCATAGTTTATAGGTGGATTCTATAATTTCTTTGTTATTAGAGTGCGTTTAATACTTCAAATCCAATATTACACGATAAAAATTTTTACCCCTAAATCTAAACACAGCGTGAACACTATACAGAAGGCACGTAGTATATGCCGTTCGCCTGATCTATCCGCTGGTATGTACTGGCTGGTTAGCTGTGTGCGCCGGCTGTGAGCGACGTGCGACGGTGTATCGTAATTAAATTCGTAATACTACTACTACCAGGTAGCTCCAGGTTTACGCTCAGAGAATCAGCTGATGGAGGTTCGGGGTTTTCCTGCGCAGCCCCGGCCGGCCGCGCGCGTCGCTTTGCTCTGGAAAGCTCGTTAGCGCAGCTCGAGCTCATCACATGCACGCCACGCGAACGCCACGAGGTGTACGATGCATGGATGCAGCCTGCACTGCACGGCCGGCGATGCACCTGTAACGCACCTGTAGCTATAGAGAGGGTGAATTGGCGACCCACGCGCGCGGCCTAACTACCAGTACTACTCCACTGACAGGGCTAACTTCTAGGGCAGTGTAGATCGTGGTCGGCCAGCCAGACGATTGGCCTGATGGCCTCAGCAACGCCGTTTGCTACAAGGTAGGAGTACTCCATTAGCTTTACTCCCTCAGTCCCAAACATTTTTAACTTTTAATATCAAAAATATTAAAGGTCCCTTCGAATCATGAGAATAAAAAAACGAAGAAATAGAAAACATATAGAATTCTAACATGAATGTAAATATAAAACAGATGATTGCAAAACACAGGAAAAACACATGCATGAATCATCGTTTGATTGGACCATATAAAAAACACAAGAATCGGATGAGATAGACTCAAAGGATTCTTACCAAGAGGTTGGACCTCTTGCTAAGTTTTCTCCAAAAACTATATGAAATAAGCCATTCCATAGAAATTTTGTACGTTTTAGAAAACTTTAATCCTTTGAATCAAAGGTTACATAGGAAAATTTTCTATAGGGTTTCAATTCTATGAAATTCCTTCATAATTCATTTGATTGAAAGGGGCCCTAAAAAGATCAATCAGATAAAATTGATGTTACTAGTAGGTTTATCATTGAACAAACTATCATACTCCCTCCATCCACAAAAGTTACACATATTACTTTTGACACCAAGACCAAGGAGAAATTAAATCACCTTGGATGTTACAAAATCAAGAAGTGAATGTAAGTATGCAACTAATGAGTATTTAGATGACTCATTGGGTTCTAATAAAGCATTTTATTTATATCTTCATTTAAGTCTTGAATGCATAAAGACTACAAATAGAAACAACTTATTTGGAAAAACTCAAATATGAAATAGGTGTAAGTTTATGGATAGAGGGAGTAATATGCAACTTATTAATGGCAAAGTTTAATTTAAGATAATGACATAAAAACCTAATATTTATTTACTTATTAAAAGAGTATATGTATCCTTTTTTTATGGTAGTTCAACGTGTTTTTTCATGTCCTATATAATATATAGGAATGTTTTCCAAAACTATGTTTATCATTTAAAGAAAATGGTACACATACTTTTTTAATATTTATTAAAATTTCTATGTACAACAAACTTACAAATATTATAATCACACAACAAATTTCTATACTTGCAACAATATAGTTTACAAATTTCTACATATTCCTCACGTATTGAAGGGTAAAACTGACTTTTTGATACTTATTAAACGGTCAACTGACAACAAGGGTATGAAAGGGATCCAAATCAAAATTCAGAGGTATACAAGGGAGTGAAGAAAATTCAGGAAAATAGAAGGGATCGGCTAAAATTTCAGGGGTATGGAAGAAATTCTCTTATTTCATTGTGAACCAAAGTAAATAAGAAGGTAGAAGTTAATTTATTTTGGGATAAAGTTTAAATTCCATAAGTTGATTTATTTTGAGACGGATGGAGCAGTTACAAATTTATTTTATTTTCTAATAAGATAAATTAGTGTGATAAATCACTCCACAAATATGTAAGATTAAATTTAATTTCTACATGTTGTAATAAAAAAACAAATTTGACTGAATATGCGTTAATTAGCTACAATCTATTTATTTTTACATATAGAAGTTAAATTGTAACATGTATGGTAATGTTACATATCAATACATTTTCTTTTTAAAAAATATTTAAATAATGTGTAAATAAACGAGGTATATCTCATGTACTATGACAAAACAAGTATGGGCGAGTCACTGTTATGTTATACGTACTCTCTTCGTCCAAAAAAGCCAACATCGTACTAGATTTTTTAGACGAGTCCCATCCAAGTACGAGGTTGGTTTTTTTTAAGGATAGAGGGAGTAGGTACTTGCCGGCCTGCGTGAGTGCTTACTTAACGTACTCCCTCCATCCAAAAAAAAGACAAACCCTTGATTTCCGTACGTTTGACTGTTCGTCTTATATGAAACTTTTTTATAATTAGTATTTCCATTGTTGTTAGATGATAAAACATGATTAATACTTTATGCGTGACTTGTCTTTTTAATTTTTTTTATAATTTTTTCAAATAAGACGTATGGTCAAACGTTGTGCACGGAAACCTAGGATTTTTCTTTTTTTGGACAGAGGGAGTAGGCATAAGCCGTACGTACATGACATTATTGACGGGTGTACTATTGATCGATCCTCGTCTTGAACCACGTCGACGTCCTAGACAGGGGAGGATATCATGGTCCCGTGTGCCTAAAAACGGGGAGCTACTCCTGTTTCAGATTAATTAGGTTCTTAGCTACTCTTTTATCTAAAAAACCAATCTAGATGTTCATTGCACTATTAAGTTATGTTATATCCCTTCAAATTTGTTTTTTTATGGAAGGAGTAGTAGCTAGCTAATTAGAGATCTCCAACTTCTCGTACGATACTTCAGAATTGAAACCTGTTTAGCAGATAACCTGATAAGAACATACTCTAACCGGTTTACTCGTCTCGATCTAATTAAAGCTGGGGCCATCCAGCTTACGAGAGCCACCAGCCGTAGCGTATCAGAGTATCAAAAGTCCTGTTCACTTTGATGCTATTTTCAACCTTAACAAGTTTTGGTAAAGTTGCTAAAAAAGTGGCTACATTTAGTTTGCTGCCAAATTTTAATAACTATATAAAAAATTCTGTGGCAACTATGCTAATATTTGGTAAGGTTTTTTTTAACATCAAAGTGAACAGACCCCCTAAGTCATTGAAAAAGAGAGCACATTAAGGGCGATTAATTTGGAGGTGATCCAAGGCGTAATTAGGTGGCTACGTGCGGTCATGATTGTGGCGATGGAAAAGCGGGGAGATGGTAGCCCAAAGCGGGATGGACATGGGCAGGGAGAGGGGAAGAGAGAGAGAGCAGCAGGTGCAGTGGGTGGCTGCTGCAGGGAAAGCTAGTGGCTGTACGTGCGCAAGTACCAGGACCACCACTGCGGCTGCCGCTGGCCAGTTCCCACAATAAACAGCATAGAGAAAAGGAAGGAAAGAAAAAGGGCGGAGAGACCCCGGGCCGGGGGCCCGATCATATCATATCATCACGGACCTGACTCAGCGAGCGTGGCGACGATAGATGGATGGCCGCTCCGATCCGATCCTGCCGCTGCTGCTGCCGCTGCCAGTTTGGATTTTATTTCCCTTTCTTGGGGGGTACGACAGCCACGCCGGTCGGCCGGCCCCCTTGCCGTGCCACGCCATGCTCCCCCAGTCGCCGCCGCGGATGGAGACGGATGCGGATAGATGGATCATTGGAGAGACGCATTTGCGTAGGGGTGCACAGCATAGCATGCAGCAGCCGCACCTATCTGCTACTATTTCCTCTATCCTAAAATATAAATATTTTTAAGTTAGTACGGGTATTAAAAAATTAGGGATAATGATTAGAGAAAGTGTGCGATTGATTGAAAAGAAAAGGTAGATGCAAAAGAATGGTTGTGATTGATTGAGAACGTAGATGAAGAAATAGCTTTATTTTAGAACAAAGTATTATGCTAAAAATAGCTATATTTTGAAACGGAGTCAGCAGTACAATGTACTTATCTCGTGGCAGGATAAATCTGCTCACGATCCACTGTCGTCGCCGCAGAGGCCGCTGTCTCAATCATCCCCTCCCTCCGGCTGGCTCGGTCCGCCGTGTCTTGGAGCTCTTGGTGCTGGACTGCTGGCTACCATCCGGGCGGCTGCAAAACGCAAAGCCGTTCCATCTCATTATGTACATCTATCCAATCCACATACAGTATACTCCTACGATAGTAGTAGATTTGCAGTGCCGAACGGCTGTTGCTTTACTGTACTATACTGACAGAGGATAACGATATGCCAGTGTGCTGTGTGCCTTTCGTCTATCAGAGTATAGAGACAGTGTAAACAAAGTACGGAGTATGATACTATGACGCGTGCCTTCCGTCTCTAGAGTAACTGGATCATTGAATTTGCAGCACGGATTATAGGATGACACCATTCGCTCTGACGAACATATCCGTATTGCATGCAAAAAAAATAAAGAAAAAGAAAAGAAAGAAAAGCTGTGAACACGTTCCTGAAAAACGAGTAATGATCCTCATCTAAAAACAGAAAAACTAATAATCCTGCTCACATTCCTAAAGAACTAATATAAAAAAGAAAAAATGGTTGCTGCTAGCAATCTACTACTCCCTCCCCTGTGTCGTCCTCGCGTGGGCGGCTCGGGGCGAAATTCTAGCCACCCGTGCCGCCACATCTCCACCCCTCTTCCACCTCGCCGCCGCTGGAGCATGCCGATGGTAAGCTAGCGGCAAGATGGGAAGGTGGCTGCGAGGCCAAAGAGCTCGGCGAAAACCACCTCGGCATGAGGAGGTGGAGTGAAGCCGGTCTTGTTTTGGTGTTGTTGGTCACGTTTAGTGGGGATCGTTTTGGTGTTAGGCTCTAAACTCTCAGTGGTTTATGCTTGTGTGGTTAGCGTGTGGTGCTTGGGCATGCACTTTGTTTTTTAGCTTTTCTCTTTAATATATTCAAATGGCTACCTTCGGTTTTTTTTAAAAAAAAGAGAAACTAATAATTCTGCTCCCGTTAAACATGCACAAGCTACAAATGTTGTTCAAATATCCTCAATCTTGAATATATTGTGGTTGATTTGTATGGATGCATACTTTAATCATACTTTTCCAGATATGCTCAAGCATTATAGCTCCTTTTGCAACTTTAAAATGATTAATTGATGTCGGCACAAGCTTTTCTTTGGAAACATCAACTGACTTTGTCCATTGTATACTAGTTTATTCAGAAATATATATAAGGATACCAGTAAGATCAAAATACTACTCCACCAAATTAAGTGTCACGCAAAGGTTTGTGGCCACCAGCAGATCATCTATAGACCAGCAGTGTGTACGATATACTATCTTCGTTTTATCCTCAGTATTTCTAAGCTGCAAAAGGTATGTAAACTAACCTTGGATTGCTTTTAAGACTCGAAGGGTGGAATCAGTGCATCACTGTCCATGGGACACCAAATCGCAGATGACCACACATGGCAGGGTCATGGAGCGTCCTTTTTCACATGGGGAGCCTTTGCCTTCTATCCTTTGAAGTGGCTCCAGTACTTGGTCAGGGAGGGCCTGCTATTACAAAAGAATTGCTTCATTACTAAGTTCAATCCACCTTAACCAAATATCTCAAGGTGAAGGAAATGGTATCCAAACAAACAAAAGCAAACTAAGAAAAATAATTCTATGCTGGTTCGTGATGAGCTGATGAGTTCACACGTAGCGTACACAAACTGCCCAACATCACACAATGTAGTCTGGCCCAGGGCCATGGTCCAACCTGTCCTCCTAAAGCCTCACCATATGTTGTTCGACTGCGACTAGAACCTGCAGTAGTCTAGTACAAGGAAGCAATTATCAGACTAGACACTTGAAACAAGCTGTTGAAAGGAGAACTTGCTATTCAGTTCAACAGTAGGACCAACGAAAGCATTTCAAAAGTATTTTGCTTCAGTGCTTCTGTTCAGGCCTGGAATATCATGGAGAAGTAGTGATGTTCAATCAATCTATCACATAGATACCTTTTCACTTACTTTTCTTAAATGACAGGGAGCATTGACGATGCAGCAAAAATTAAACCAGGTATTGAGCAGAATTTTTCCTAGATAAAGAAACGAGCAAACAAAAATAACCAGGAAAATTCAGACATGGCAAATTGAATTCTCTTCTCATTGCACTACAAATCCTGCCAGCATTCCAAGGGGGCAGTAGAAGGATAGAGTCCGATCCCTGCAAAAAGTTGATCTGATCTTCAGTGGTCAATTGATAGATGGAATGAAACATAACACTGTATCTGAAACCCCTAGAATTAGAAATCATGGGTAAGTGGTTACAGAAACTGAATCTAATGTTTCATATCATTAAGCTTGCGACACTACAATGCTACTTTTCCCAAAGCAAAGTTGGATTTGATCTCATTGACTCCTCATGAGTATAAAAGGAAAAGGAACCCTGATACAGATAAAGCAAGACCATACATAGTTTACTATCTTAATCAGATGATGGCATTCATTGACCTGATTTGCTGAGAACTTGCTTCAATGTGAAAAACTACTACTTAAAGCTGGAAGCAACAGGCAAAACAATACTAACAAAAGGTACTGAAACAGTCAACAATTCCATCATGGCTCTTGATATCGTGGGCCATAACAATATGCTGTCAAGTTCGCTAACGTAGTTCACCGTAATGGGCAGCATCTTTTTCATATGTCCAAAAGCACATCAAATACTTGGCAAGTTTGTGTTCTCTCACATAGGGGATACCTAGGTATTATTTAACCTAGACAATTCCTTGGAAGAAGAACCTTGCTGCACATGCATTACTAATCAAACTTACCATCTAATTCCGGGAGAACATAGTATTGTCTAGGAAAAGAAATGTCATAGCACGATGGTTAACACTTTGCTGAGAAAGCACAAGGCTCTGACAATCTGCTTCTTATATTCACAAGGCACATCACAAGACTGGCTATGCATTCAATCAACTTTGAATTTTAACAACTATCCATTCCATGAATATGGAGCGCGTTCAACAACTAAATAGTCCCCTCGTATGTCCTTTGCTACGCGGATGTCATCATCCAAATAGACAGTGTCAAACCTGAAAGTAGAGGCATATATTATGTAAATGTCAAAAGACCTAACACATACAAGCCAAATTTCCAAATAGATGGTGTCAAACCAGAAACTGATAAAACGAAACAGAACTGATAAACTGAACAAATGTCAAAGACCTAACTGGTAAAAATGTGTTTCCAGTCCAGCTTTATTTACATTCACTCTCTACTGATCAGGTGAAGAAAACATATACACCATCCCTAAAAATGGAGGTGGGAAAGGAAAGCCCTTGTAGATGATGATTTGGTCATCTAGTAACAAAAATGAAAAGTTTGTTAGACTTATAAATTGTTGATTATGCAGCACAGTTCCAAAAACTATTTCTGGTCATACATATTTGACACTTAGGACAAGATTCGGTTAAACTTTTAAAACTCGGATGATTAATTTTAGATTAGAATAAATTTATGATATATATATTTTTGAGTCAAATCTAAGTATACCCCTTTTTTGGCTTTTAAACTAAGCATTTGACCAATAATTTATGGTCAAAATTTTAAAAGTTTGACCAATTCTTATCTTACCTAAAATAATTATGACTGCGAGAGTAATGTATTTGATTTAATGAAATGGTTTACGATTACGTGAACACAATATCAATCCATGAATGCTAGATACGATTTCATTCCTTGAAAATTGTTGCAAACAATGCACAATATCTCGTGCTATGCTTCCACATTTTTTTCTGTCTCCTTTGTTTTTGCTATTTCATTGGAACTCAACTTGTAAGATTATTCGAGTGAAGTGCATGATACTACCAATTGAAGAATATCTTCCACTCACCATCCTTTCCCAAAGGGCGGAAACGGGACCTCCCAATTGCTCCCTCTCAACATAGCGCGTGTAAACCTGCAACAAGCAAACATAAAATAAAACAATCAGCAGTTGCTCTAATTACCACAAGCTGATGAAACAACAGACGATGATGTCTTCTTTTTGGAAAGAACAGATGATTATGTTAAGCCTAAACAAAAAGCTGGAGGAAGCCTGCCTAAAATTGACTCGCTGGGGCGGCTGGATCTCGATGGAGCCGTTCACGACGAACGCGCCAGAGGGCGGGAAGGTGATCACGTTGTTGAGGGCGCCACCGGGGACGTCGATTACCTGGAACACATCACCGGCGGCGGTGCGGAAGAAGGGGGCGTTGCGCACGATGAAGAGCTGCTCATGCTCGGTGGTCCAGAGGAGCCGCCACGTACCGGAAAGCTTGTCGGCATCGGAAACGGTATCGGATCCGGGAGCAGCGGCGGCGAGGGCGTCGATGCAGGAGACGATGTCGGCGAGGCGGGAGGGGTCGGACTGGGTGTCGAGGCCGCGGCGTTGGTCGGCGATGAGGCGGAGGAGCTCGTCCTTCTCTGGCGGAGGGCGGGAGCGCCGTGAGGGGAAGAGGGCGCGGAGGAAGCCGCCGGCGGCAGGGGGCGCGGGGGCGAGGCGGCGGTTGCCCCTCGGAATCGGCGCGAGAATTTTCGCGTGGGAGACTAGTGGCGCCATGGGCGAGGATTTGGTTTGGGTGGTGGCGGTGACGGGGGGAAGGGGAGGCGAGCTCGCGTTGCCTTCGTGAGGAGTTTGGGCCGGTATAATGGGCTGGGCTCATCAAGGCCCATCAAGTCCAAGGTCCATTTCACAACCGCATCGAACCCTAACCCCCGCGGCTCCTCCAGCAAAACCCCCCATTGCAGACGCCGACCCCCGCCTCGAACTCTCCAGTGCTGCCTCCACAGTTTTCGCCTCGCCGCCGCCGCCGTCGTCGTCGCCATGGCGATCACCGCCCAGACCCCCGACATCCTCGGCGAGCGCCAGTCCGGCCAGGACGTCCGCACGCAAAACGGTAACTCGTCTCTCCCCCTCCTGCAAGCCCTTCCCCGCCGCCAGATTCCGTGGAGTCGCGGCGGGTTTTTGTAAGATCTAGTGGCACGACTCGCCGTCCGGACGCGGGGATTTGATTTCCTTCTCTGATTGCAGTGGTGGCGTGCCAGGCGGTGGCCAACATCGTTAAGTCCTCGCTTGGGCCCGTGGGGCTCGACAAGGTTTGTACCTTGCGATTTGATCTACTTGGTTGCGCATAAATTGTTACTGTGTGTGAAGGATGCGAACTTGTAGGTTTCAAAATTGTGTGATCCGCTACTTAGAATGACGTATTTTCTCCTTTATGAGCTGCTCATTGTGATCCAGATGTAGTTCAGTCGCTTACTGATTCAACGGTGTAATATGTGTGCGGCTAATGTTGTTATGTGCTCGAAATAACTGTCAGTATCACTAAACTTTTTATGAAATCATGAAATTACAACAGTATGTGCATCAGTATCACTAAACCTAATCAGGATTAATGAAGTTAGACTTAGATCAGTTCTGCACCACACCAATCCCTGATAATTCCAAAAGGTTGGCTGGAATGAGCTAATTGAGCATATCCTTCTTGTAGATGCTTGTGGATGATATTGGTGATGTTACCATAACAAATGATGGAGCAACCATTTTGAGGATGTTGGAAGTCGAGCATCCAGCAGCCAAGGTGATGTCAGGCAGCTTAAAGGTGCCATCTCCTTTTTCCCCTGGTTGTTGTTTTGTGCTTAGTTGTTTTTTGGTCCTGTTATTGTTAGGTTCTTGTTGAGTTGGCTGAGCTTCAAGACAGAGAGGTGGGAGATGGAACGACATCTGTTGTGATAATAGCCGCAGAATTGCTAAAGGTAATGAAATGGAGCTTTCGTGTCAGTCTTTTCTTCCCTATGTATTTGCCTACCATTCTAAATATGCATTTATGACACTCTTTTTTTCTTTTTACCAGCGGGGCAATGATCTTGTGAGAAACAAAATCCATCCGACATCTATTATCAGTGGCTACAGGGTGAGTTTTGCACTTCATAATTCAGCTGCAGTACAATTTCAGATTTAAAACGAATGTTCCAGCTGCAAACCCACATTGCTTAACATGTTTTACCATCATTTACTACCAGCTTGCTATGCGTGAAGCTTGCAAATATGTTGAAGAAAAGTTGGCTGTCAAGGTAAGAGAATACTATCTGCTTAATGAATAGCAGCAGATTACTTCTTGACACCTGACACTAGTATCTATCAACATTTTCAGGTTGATAAACTTGGAAAGGATTCTCTTATAAACTGTGCGAAGACAAGCATGTCCTCGAAGCTGATTAATAGTGACAGTGATTTCTTCGCAAATCTGGTAAGTTCCTATTGCCATATATATACATTTGTATTTTCAGCTGTAAGTTTGATTTTAGTGATACTTTTTAAATTTAAATAAATATTTAGTTGATACTCTATATCTGTATATATAGGCAGTCCAATTTATTTCTTTCCAATGTCGTAGCATGCTATAATGCTTCACTGTTAAGTCTCTATCTGACAGTTAGGCATATCCGTAGCCAAATGCTAGTGCTTTAATTCACTTTCTGTAAGCTTTCCTTCAAACTGTGCTGTATAATTAACATGGCTGTTGTTTAATAGGTTGTCGATGCAGTCCAAGCTGTGAAGACCACAAACGCTAAGGGAGAAGTGAAGTATCCTATCAAGGTGAGTTACATGCTTGTGATTCTTGTTATACATCAAAGCAAAACTTTGTTGTGTGCAATTGCAATACACTGAATGAGATATATTGAATTGTGCACTTGTGCTTCACTGATTGTTCTCTTTCTGTAGCCTCTATTATTGTTTGGAAATTGTAGAGTATTACACTTGTTTGTGAGCTTTGCTACATGTGACCTTTGTTCTTTTCTCCTGGTTATGTATAACATATTGGACACCTTGAGAGCTAATAAAGTTTAACTTCTACCTTAATTATATGCTGTTATGTCATTGACTTTCTTGTTAACCAATAACCATTCATGTATGGACATGGCATTCAAGTTATTTCTCTAAAAGTACTTCGCAATAACCATTTTTTGATTTTTATATTAACAAAATCGACAGAAATTTGCTGGTAACTATAGCTCATCTGATCTGCAGAGCATTAATATTTTGAAAGCCCATGGTAAAAGTGCCAAGGACAGTTACCTGCTGAATGGGTATGCACTAAACACAGGCCGTGCAGCTCAAGGAATGCCTACTAGAGTAACCCCGGCAAGAATTGCATGTCTTGATTTTAACCTTCAGAAGACAAAAATGCAATTGGGTGTTCAAGTCCTTGTAACTGATCCAAGGGAACTTGAGAAAATTCGTCAGAGGTATGTGCATTTACTTTTTCCAACGCATTCTGATTCATTTGTTTTGTATACTTAATGAGTCAACAATTGGGGTGTTCTCTTTTATCTGATTTGCACATTTTATTTTTTTTATATTTTTATTGTGTTTTTTTATTTCTATTGTTTTGTGGAATGTGGTTGGATCCACACATAATTCTATTATAATTTATGGTCTCCAATTGTAAAACATAATCTTACTTTTCATGGCAGAGAATCTGACATAACAAAGGAGCGAATTGAGAAAATTCTGAAGGCTGGTGCTAATGTTGTACTGACCACTAAGGGAATTGATGATATGTCACTGAAGGTATGTTTTATTCAAGTAGAAACATTCTTTTATTACCTAAATATAATCTATTGACTTCGGTTGGACTGGTAAGAGCTCTGTTATTGATTGAATACTAGTACATGGACGGTATTGTGTTGATGTTGATTGAGCGTGGGTGTTTGTGGGGTATTCATTATCAATTTCCTCAGGAAACTTCTTTCATCATTGAATCTTTTTGGTCGTCCAAACTGAGCTTCTGTTTCATAATTTTAGTTAGACTTCTTTTTACTCTGAAGAGAGCTGTTTCATTATTGAATTGGTTTTGATTATTTTGAAAGAGCTACTTGGTTCATGTGGTGTTTGTGTGTTAATCTTTGTATATGTATGATGTTGATGATTCCTGGCTACTGTCTTTAAATCTGCTTTATGACTGTTCAATGGAATATCATTTCAGTACTTCGTTGAGGCTGGAGCAATTGCTGTAAGGCGTGTGCGTAAGGAGGATTTGCGCCATGTTGCCAAGGCTACTGGTGCAACTATGGTATGCCTCACCTTTTGTTTATCGAGTTGTAACAACATTGGAATACATAATTGTGCAGATGACTAATAGAATTAATAAATGATGAAGCAACTTCCCTTGCGATACCACTGTAATTTTAGTCTTAAGTTTGTTGCTTCTAGTCCTAATATTAATGCTACACAAACTGTTTGGTGCTGTCCTAATTTGGTAGTAAATTGCAGGTATCTACATTTGCTGATATGGAAGGTGAAGAGACATTCGATTCATCGTTCCTTGGACATGCTGATGAAGTTGTTGAGGAAAGAATTGCTGATGATGATGTAATTTTGGTGAAAGGAACAAAGAACACCAGCGCTGTATGTACTTTTCAATTCCAATGCAAATCTTATATTTTGTATAACAAAACCAGCAAGAGTTTAGGGGAATCACGCCTGCATTTCTTTTATGCAGGTCTCAATTATACTTAGAGGCGCAAATGACTTCATGCTAGATGAGATTGACAGATCATTGCATGATGCATTGTGCATTGTGAAGAGAACTCTGGAATCCAATATGGTATAACCTTTTGCTTCTGTTCCTTAACATGTTGGTTCCCTGCAGTTGAATATATAAAGTTCACTGTTATATTAAGATTTTTGGGAGAGTAAGAAAAAAATGTCTTTTTTTTTCATTTGAGCACTACTGTTGTCCTGTTACCACGTGAGACCTTTGATTAGACACTAACATGTTGATTAGTTGTATTTAGTGCCCCATCATTATTCTTTTGTCAATTGCTTATGCTGTACAATGCCAAATGACCATGTTTGCCATTACATTTCTTCAGAGGATAGCTTCCATGCTTTTGCAAACCAAATCAACCAAAGCAGTTAAAATTTTCACAACTGAGCCACTTGGTGCAATTCTATCTGTGTTGTCACTTGTTTCAGTCATTTATGCCTGCATTCCATCCACAGAACAATGTTGGCAGTGTATACTTCATATTAGCCGTGAATGTAGTTCTGGCATTGTAACTTTGGTGGCGCTTTAAACATGTATGTATCATGCAGGTTGTTGCTGGTGGTGGTGCAGTTGAAGCTGCATTGTCTGTATACTTGGAGAATCTTGCTACAACCCTTGGGTCCAGGGAACAGTTGGCCATTGCTGAATTCGCGGAATCTTTGTTAATCATTCCAAAGGTTTGATCACTTGTGTTCTATGTGTTTACATACTGGATGACATAAAATATTAATGTGAAGTGTGACCTTGTGATGTCAGGTTCTTTCTGTCAATGCTGCAAAAGATGCAACTGAGCTTGTAGCAAAGCTTAGGGCATATCATCATACTGCTCAAACAAAGGCTGATAAGCAACACTTTTCAAGGTAATTACAGAACATGTCTTCGTTGTTATCTGAATAAGATGTGGTTCTTTTATCTTGTACATATAGTATGTTCTAGATCTTTGAAAAGCTCTCCAAATTCTTTTTTGATGAACTTTTGGGACAATTCTAGAGATATTATGTTATAGAGTAAATTTCACAAAGCTACAAATACTTGAGCAAATTATCGCAAAACTACAGATTTAGGTGATGTATCACAAAACTATATATTTAACAATAAATTTATCACAAAACTATATGTCTGATGCCAAGTATTGCAAAACTACAGATTTAATAATAAAATTACCCCAAAACTACAGGTTTAATGTCAATTTAATCACAAAACTTGGACGTTGATAACTCAAACATACCATTAGTGCTAATGATTTGAACCCCAAAATCTGTTGTTTTGTGATAATTTTATTATTAAATCTGTAGTTTTCGCGATACTTGGCATTAAACATATAGTTAATGTTAGTCAGCCATCTATTAAAAGGAAGAAGTTAATGTGTTCCTGAATGTGTGTAATTTATCAATAGAGTAACCAGTAAATTCACTTCTGTTTGCTGCAGCATGGGTCTTGACCTTTCAAAAGGTATCATTCGCAACAACCTTGAATATGGTGTCATTGAGCCAGCAATGAGTAAAGTAAAGATTATTCAGGTTGGTATACTTAGCATAGGTCTTATCATGATGTTTGACTGAAATCTGAGGCCCTTACGCCATTTCCTTTTTTTTTCCCTTGCAGTTTGCCACTGAGGCGGCCATTACTATCCTGAGGATTGATGACATGATCAAACTTACGAAGGAAGAGAGCGGGAACGAAGAGTAACAAGCATTGACACTCATTTTTGTGATCACGAGTGATCTGCTATGTGTGATGGTTGTGATAGACCCCTAGAATGTTTGTAAGTTTTTTGTTTGTCTTTAATTAGACATTCACTTAGGATATTGTACCAAGGAGTTCCGGGAGAATGTGTATCCGTATTGTGTTTAATGCTATTTTGGAACGACCGTCACGGTTTACTCTCTAAGACTGTTGCGGGCAAAGCTGCTCTGTTTTTAAAACGAGGACCTCTTGCAGACTGTTGCGGTAAAGATACTATGTTTTCAAAATGAGGACTAATTTCACATGGAATTCATGCTGCGTTGGTTCATGTTGTGATCTCCCTTAATTCCGAAATAAGCGAATCTAGGGTATGATTTGACGAAATAAATCTGAATAAAGTCCTATCTAGATATAACATTTATATGAGTTTATGTCACATTCAATTTTTCAATTTTAGATTGGTTTATTTTGAGAGTGAGGCAGCATGTCTGTGAACTCTACTGTGCTGCGTTTGCTACATTTACCAGCTGGAAGTAAAACCAAAATTACCTCCAGCCAATGGATATGCTGGAAACGCAGTGAAGCCAGTACGGAAAAACCCCTGGTAGGCTTAGGCCCCAAAGCTCCTGTTTCGGCCTGGGGAGGTTAAATGTTAATGGGCTAGAATGGAAGGCCCTTCAGAGCAGGCCGGTTCACACCTGTGATTACGTCATGCCATACGTGCCGTGCAGATTCACCGGGATGGCGGGATCCTCGGGTTAATGGCAGAAATCAAGGCGGACAAAATTAGCCACCCGGGCACTCCATCGATTTTTGACGCGACCACAGTACTCAAAACAGCTATCCCCCGCAGTTAACACTGCACGACGACTCGTGCAAGTTACATGCAACCGTGCCTTTCGTCATCCCACACACTTTCATGCATATGCATTGCACATCGATCGCCAACGCCAAGTCGTTGCCACCAACCGATCGACTGTGTGCAGCCTACCTACATTCACGCGTGGCACCCGGAGCTCGCCCGCCCTCCCGCCGGCCAAGCGCACATGTTGGCCGCCGATGGCGTACGTACGACCGCCTAATTCTCGCTGATGTAGAGAGCCGTAGCCCGGGAGGCCATGGCCCGGCAAAGCTGCCCCGAATCCCGGTGTTTGCTCGCGGGAGCCGACGGTGCGCTCGCTCGTCAGGAGAGTTGACGGGGACGAGATTGGCGGATTTGGGGATGCGGCCGGGGATGAAACGGTCGATCGGTTGACCCGGGAGGAGGAAGAATGAAGCTGGTGTGGTGAGAGCGAGGCTAGGGGAGACGTCTCGGGATGCGCAAGCTTAAGCGGTCACCATCGCATCACGCGCGCGGGCGTGCGGGCGTGCAGTGATCAACCGAAATAACGGCCAATCTCCTGTGCACTTTTGACTTTCCATTTTGCCAATAGTAGTAGGCAGGATTCGCAAACGTAAGCGTCGTCGTCCAGCAAGTTATTGACAATGTTATGCACAAATTATAATCATGTACAGTTACCCTCTGTTGCAGATTAACACAAGCTATGCACATTAATTGTATTAGCACCTTTCTCTCATGCATGCCGCCCTGGAGGTTCAGGGTGCAATGACACATAGCATGTATGCTACATTCACGAGTTTGTTAACCAAAGATGGGCTCCAGCCAAATGGTATGGCTTCATTCACTAGCTTGCCAGATCTAGCCAGGCAGGCAGAAACTGAAAGCTAGTAATAATACCGGTAAAACTGCCATGGTCCCGATACCGATCGAATTGAGGATTGGACAAGTGAACTACACACAAAAGGACCGGCCTACTACTACGTAAATAGCTAATTACTTTTCGACTGTACTTAAACATGTTGACCCTAGCCATGTGCATTAGCATGGATATGGAACTATCCAACAGAGCAAGCAAGCAGAGCGATTTGTCTGCATACGCATGCATGCACGGAGGGATATGCCCACACAAACCCATCGTCTGCTGCCTATAAATAGATCACCTCCTTTCCCTAGCTACCTCACACACAGCCCACACCACCTCTCATCGACTCATTTGCTTGCATCTTCCAAATCCTTGCAAAGCAACAACAATCCTAGCAAGTTTAGCTAAGCAGGTATAGCAGCCATGGCTTCCAGGTTCCAGCTGATTTTGTCGACCTTCGTTGTCATTGCCGCTGTCACCATGCTTCCACGCCCTTGCGCTTCCATCGAGTTCCACCGCAAGCTCTCCAGCTGGTCCAATGGCGGAGCTACGTGGTATGGCGCTGCAAATGGCGCCGGAAGTGATGGTAAATACGTTGTCATCAGATGAGAGTTTCTTCGAAAAGAAAATTCATGCCTATGTATGTCATGTCTTAACAGTGCAATATCTGTGTGTACAGGTGGTGCATGTGGGTACCAGGGTGCCGTCTTCCAGGCACCGTTCTCGTCTATGATCGCCGCCGGCAGTCCTTCCATCTACAAGTCTGGCTTGGGCTGCGGCTCTTGCTACCAGGTACATATATACCGACAGATCAGAATATATATCTAGTATAATTAAGTCTGTGCACATACATGTACTCCCTCCGTCCCAAGATGTTTGACGCTGTTGACTTTTTAAAAAATATTTGACCGTTCGTCTTATTCAAAAAATTTAAGTAATTATTAATTCTTTTCCTATCATTTGATTTATTGTTAAGTATACTTTTACGTATACATATAGTTTTACACATTTCACAAAAGTTTTTGAATAAGACGAACGGTCAAACATATTTAAAAAAGTCAACGGCGTATTTAGGGAAGGAGGGAGTATATGCCTGTATTGCATCTAACATTGGAAATCAACAATATAATTTTTCAGGTGAAATGCACTGGAAATAGCGCTTGCTCGGGCAACCCGGTGACTGTCGTCCTCACCGACGAGTGCCCCGGAGGCCCGTGCCTCAGCGAGCCGGTCCACTTCGACCTGAGCGGCACGGCGTTCGGTGCCATGGCGAACCCCGGCCAGGCCGACCAGCTGCGCGCGGCCGGCGTCCTCCAAATCCAGTACAACCGGTAAGCGAGCATCTTTCACTTCCGTGCAAAAATTGCTGCAGCAGCAATGGCCAAAAGTCGGCCAAGCAGCAGAACACTTGCAGTTATCACGGCTTCACTCATCTTTTCTTATCACCACGCATGGACCACCGGCCACCGGGGCACATGCACTGCTTCAGCTATAACCTCCATGCATGCAACTGTCCTTCAATTCTTCTTCTCGTGTTGGTTTCTTTCAAACGATCCGATCGAACGCACGTGATGTGTGTACAGCGTGCCGTGCAACTGGGGCGGAGTGAAGCTCACCTTCGTCGTGGACGTCGGCTCGAACCCCAACTACTTCGCCGTGCTCGTCAAGTACGAGAACGGAGACGGTGACCTCTCCGGCGTGGAGCTCATGCAGACCGGCGCCGGCGCCGCCTGGACGCAGATGCAGCAGTCGTGGGGCGCCGTCTGGAAGCTGAACGCCGGCTCGGCACTGCAGGCGCCGTTCTCCATCCGCCTCACGTCCAGCTCCGGCAAGACGCTCGTCGCCAGCAACGTCATCCCTTCCGGGTGGAAGCCCGGCATGTCGTACATATCGACGGTGAACTTCTAACGATCGCAAGCAATATCTCAACTTGCATGCTTGCTGCATGCATGTGTCTGCAGTCTGCAGGCATATGTTAGATCGGTTATTCGTTGGTGCAACAACGATGTGTGCTACAGGGCTACAGGTTTGTCGTAAGTGTGAAATTAATAACGGCGAGATGCAGAGGCGGAGGCGCAGATGATTTACTAGTTCTCCCCTCCTCGCCGCAGTACGTGTCAATGATTATCGTTATACGTGTTTACTGTGTGTATTATTTGTATCAGAACAGAGCCGACCAGTGCTTATAAACGTGCTATATATGAACATATTCGCATTGTGTTGTTGTGTCTTGACTGTGCATACATGTCTCTCGGCATGCACCATGAAACTATTTTATCCCTCCTTATTTACATGTCACTTAAATGATTATGAAAAAAATTAAAAAATAAAAAGATATATTAACATGTGTTATATCACTTCACAAATATGCAAGTTCAAATTCAACTTATACATCTCGCAACAAAAAAAAATAAATTAAACTACAACTAGTAACGCATATTCAAAGTTAAATTTATTTTTTTGTTACGAGATGTGTAGGTTGAATTTAAACTTGCATGTTTATAGAGTGATATATCATATAACACATGTTAATATATCTTTATAATCTTTTTAATTTTTTATAATTATTTGAATGACATGCAAACAGCGAGTGGACATCCCCACTAGACACCAGTTTGGTAGAGTGTACCTAAAATGGTCCCATACCATTCGGTGCCCAGGCTTTGGAAAGTATGGGGGCAGTTTTGGGTTTAAGCCGAGGAATAAGTTCATCTAAGGTCCCTTAATTTTACACCGAATCCGATTTTCGTCCTTAAACCCCAAAACCAAATACAAACGGTCCCTGAACTGTTAAAACCGGGGTAAACGAGGTCCCTCGGTGGTTTAGAAGGCGGTTTTGGCTGACATGGCGCCTACGTGGATGGTTTGACTAGGTCTCCGTCTCACGTGACATTGACATGGCGCTGACGCGACGTAGACGTGGCAATTATATCTCAGAAAAATAATAAAATCCGTGGGCCCACATGTCATCCTCACACCCCCTTTCTTCCCTCTCCCTTTTCTTCATCTTCTTCCCGTAGGCGAGCGAGGCTGCGAGGCGGCGACCTCGGCAACCTCGCCGCCGCCGCCGCCGCCGCCGCCTCAGTTGCCAGGCTCCTCCCTCGCCGGACCACCGCCTCCATCCTCCTTCCCCTGCGCCGCCTCTACACCGACGCAACAGCCAGCACGAGGCGGCAGAGCTTGTTGCGACGGCGCTTCGCATGGAATTCCGGCCGCCGCTCGTGGCTCGTGGCGAAGAGGCGGAGCACGGCGTCGGAAGGGGAGAGCACGGCGTAGGCGGCGAGAAGGCGGGTCGCCGCGAAGGCGTCGTCGGCGAGGCGGCCGGAGACGAGCATGGCGGCGTGGACGACGGCGAGCTCACGCGGGGTCGTGCAACGGTCGGCCAGGAGGGACAGGTTCGGCCGGCGCCGGACGCTGCTGCGGGGGAGGCGGGCGTTGACGACTCCGCTCGCCCGCCGCGGCGCCCCTCTGCTCCGTGTCCCGGAGCCGCCGCCGTCCCCGCGCCTGACTCCCCCCGGGGCACGCGCGTATAGGAAAGGGGAAGAGGAACGAAGGAGCTAAAGCCGTGGCGAGCCACGAGCTCGTGTTGTCCTGTTGCTTCACCAAAGCCGGCGTCGTCGCTTCCCCATCACCAACGGCCTCCTGGAGCCGAGAGCGGAGGGCGACGCCGAGGTGGAGGACAACGCCGGAGGGGACATCAGAACCCGATTGTTCTGCACCACGACCAAAATCATGCAGCAACCAAGCAAGAGAAACAAATTAATCAGGATATGGTGAACATTTGAAAAAAATAAAATAAAATTCATGTCGCGGGTGCACTGCACCAAAGCGTACACCATCGTGCACGGTAGCGTTCAACAGCACCGCGACGTGCTCCCGGAACCTGCCGGCGATGAAGGTGTCCACCACGTTGGTGTTGTTCAGCGGCTACTCCGGCTTGTTGCCGTACCCGGAGACAAAGTCCACGTCGGAGAACAGGAGCTGGAAGCAGTCGTAGTAGAGCATGACGTTCTTGCGGAGCTCGCAGAGCGGCCTGTTCGTCCTGTTCATGGCAGCGTCGAACGCGTCCCTGATGCAGCCGGCGCAGAGGAAGAAATGAGAGGGGAGAGGAAGAAGGGAGAAGTGAGGATGACATGTGGGGTCTACGTGGGCCCCACCATTTTGTAGTTATTTTTTTGTGTGTAGCTGACATGTGGGCCCACCGTTTTTTTATTTTTTTTAAGATATAATTGCCACGTCAGCGCCACGTGGGATGAAGACCTAGTCAAACCAGCCACGTAGGCACCATGTCAGCAAAAACCGCTTTCCAAACCGCCGAGGGAGCTTATTTGCACCGGTTTTGACAGTCATGGACAAATTATATCTGGTTTTGGGGTTAAAGGATGAAAATTGGATTCGGTGTAAATTAAGGGACCTTAGATGAACTTATTCCTTAGGCCGAAGCTTCCAACAATTCGGATTATCCAAGGTGGGCTGGGATAGTTGATTCCAGCCCGTATAGGACGAGAGCCCAATTCGCTCCTCCCAAAGCGCAGCAAATTTGTGTTGGGCCTAGGCCGCTCTCTATCTACGTCAACCGGCCTGCTATCACAACAACTTTCCGCTAATCTCGCCGACGGCAACGCTGCCAACAAACATGATTTGCCTTTGTCCACCCCCCACCCCCCCAACCACCACCACCACACACACACCACCCCCACCGTGGCGTCGACTACATGATCGGCGGCGTAGGAGAAGAAGAGCCCATCGGTGGAAGACGATGTGATATGCCCAGATAGAGACGCGCGGGCGCGGCTGTTGTTTTCACGGGACGACGTGCGCCCCCCTGCGCGATCAGCCGTCGTCTGATCACTGCATGATGATCTCCTCGGCCCGAACAGGCGAACAGCGTTGCCTCCCACGTCCGCCTGCCCGCCCGCGCGGTTGGAGCAGGAGCTTCGCTATCAACGGCGCGTTGCACGGGAGATTCCAGCGATTCCGCGACCCAAAATATCCAATACGTTAAGATGAGACCACACGCCCGTTTCGTCACCCTCCCTGCCTATGTGCACCGCACGTTTAGCGATCGCTCCGGGGAATTTCTCGTGGGGATTGCCGATTGCGTGCGTGCGTGCGTGGGTGCGCGGCAACGATTCGGTTGGTGTAGAGGAGGATTACGTGCGTGCCGGCGTGACGGTCTGTGTCGAGGGGAACAGCAACGCTCTCAGCTCACTACGCGGCGCGAGATTCGGGGGGATTGGGCCTGCAGCCGGGCCCACACCAACTTCTCGCGGTAAACGGCCCATTTCCTTGTCGGAAAATAACTTATACTATCATACAGCCCTCATCATCTATCTATTATCTATCTATCTATCTATCTATCTATCTATTATTATTAAGACAGCTCGAAACGAAGACACCACGTTCGCTGTGGGGGCTAGAAAATCCTACATTAATCGGAGAAAAAGAAAAGAAGAGTCAAAGTAGAAATACAATTAAAAATAGCTGAAATTCAGAATTAAAAATATGCAATATGGAAAGAGGAGTCCATATAGGAACCCAATATGTGATTAATCAAAATTCGAAATAAAAATAAAATAAAATCCAAAATTAGAAAAGGAAAGGAGAGTCCAAATAGAAATAAAATTTAAAAATAGCTGAAATTCGAAATTAAAAATAAGCAATATTGAAAGAAGTTTCCATATAAGAACCTAATACGAGATTAATCAAAATTCAAAATAAAAATAAAATAAAATCCAAAATTAGAAAAGCAAATAAGAGTCCAAGTAGGAATACAATTTAAAAATAGCTGAAATTCGGAATTAAAAATAAGAAATATTAAAAGAAAAGTCCATATAAAAACCCAATACGAGGTTAATTAAAATTCGGAATAAAAATAAATAAATATAAAATTAGAAAAAGAAAATAAAAGAAGAGTTCAAGTAGGAATACAATTTAAAATTAGCTGAAATTCGGAATTAAAAATAAGCATACTGAAAAAAGAATCCATATAAGAACCCAATATGAGATTAATTAAAATTTAGAATAAAAAATAAAATAATATCCCAAGTTAGAAAACAATAAAAGAGAGTTCAAGTAGCAATACAATTTTGAAACAACTGAAATTGAAAATAAAAAATAAAAACATTAAAATAACACAATACAGTATTAAACATTTTTTTTAAATTTTTTTCTAAAATTAGAAAAATAAAAATAAGATTTCAATTAGGAATACAATTTATAAATAACTAAATTTTTTGATAAAAATAAAGATTATTAAAATAAAAGACCATCTAAAGCACATGACGAGATATATTAAGTAACATGCCTATAAAGGAGTAGAGTGGTGGCGGTTGATATGACATATAAAAATTGTTAATAAAACACCAAATAGAATCCTAATGACGATTAAAAGGAGAGACGTCAGGGAGGCCGTGAAGCAATAAAATTTAGAATAAAAAAAATAATATCCAAAGTTAGAAAACAATAAAAGAGAGTTCAAGTAGCAATACAATTTTGAAACAACTGAAAATGAAAATAAAAAATAAAAACATTAAAATAACACAATACGGTATTAAATAATTTTTTTTAAAAAAAATTCTAAAATTAGAACAAGAAAAATAAGATTTCAATTAGGAATACAATTTATAAATAACTAAATTTTTTGATAAAAATAAAGATTATTAAAATAAAAGACCATCTAAAATATATGACGAGATATATTAAGTAACATGACTATAAAGGAGTAGAGTGGTGGCGGTTGATATGACATATAAAAATTGTTAATAAAACACCAAATAGAGTTCTAATGACGATTAAAAGGAGAGACGTCAGGGAGGCCGTGAAGCAAACGAATAAGACGGTTGCCGGGACTTCTAGAAAGTAAAAAAAAATAATTTTTAGAATCACAATGACAATAAAGAGTAGGTGACAGACGGGCTGTAGATCAGGGACACAGTGACATCGTTTGGTGGCACTTCTAAAAATTATTAAAAATAAAACTACAAGTTCAATTTTTAAAGGTTCGGAACTTCTGAAAAGTAAAAAAACCAATGATAATCATGTTCGATTTTAAAATCAAAATGAAATAAAGAAGGGAGGCAGCGGGCGAGCCGTAGAGGATTACAATGGCAAAGCCGCTAACGGTTTGGCGGGACTTTTAAAAAGTAAAAATGAACTTAAAACGATAATTACGTTCGATTTTTAAATTCTCAATGACAATAAAGAGATAAGACAGTAGACGTGTCGTAGAGGAGTATAATAGCAACGTTTGACGGGACATCTAGAAATTATAAAAATGAAACCCAACGTGACAATAAACTCTAAAAACTATAAAATCCAATTTTTAAAGGTTCCAATAAGAATGAATAGAAATAGTGGTAGATCGAGCAATCAAATAAAGAAGAAGCTGAGACATAAGGGGTAGCAACTAGTGTGACTTTTAAAAACTATATTATTAGAAACACGATGATGATAAGGTTTGGTCTTTCAAATTCTTAAGACAATGAGATAGATATTTAATAAATTTTAAGTAAAATCATACTTAAAAAAATATATGATTTTGTTTGGGTGCTAGCCGCGCAATTGTGCGGGCCACCCAGCTAGTTATATTATTAAGACAGCTCGAAAAGAAGGCACCACGTTCGCTGTAGGGGCTAAAAATTCCCACATTAATCGGAGAAAAAGAAAACAAAGAAAAGGAGAGTCTAAGTAGAAGTATAATCTAAAAATAGCTGAAATTCGGAAATAAAAATAAGCAATATTGAAAGAAGTTTCCATATAAGAACCCAATACGAGATTAACCAAAATTTGAAATAAAAATAAAATACAATCTAAAATTAGAAAAGGAAATGAGAGTCCAAGTAGGAATACAATTTAAAAATAGCTGAAATTCAGAATTAAAAAAAGCAATATTGAAAGAAGATTCCATATAAGAACCCAATACGAGATTAATCAAAATTCGAAATAAAAGTAAAAGAAAATACAAAATTAGAAAAGGAAAGGAGAGTCCAAGTAGAAATACAATTTAAAAATAGCTGAAATTCGAAGTCAAAAATAAGGAATATTAAAAGAAGAGTCCATATAAGAACCCAATACGAAATTAATTAAAATTTAGAATAAAAATAAATCCAAAGTTAGCAAAAGAAAATAAAAGAAGAGTTCAAGTAGGAATACAATTTAAAATTAGCTGAAATTCGGAATTAAAAATAAGCAATATTGAAAGAAGAATCCATATAAGAACCCAATATGAGATTAATTAAAATTTTAAATAAAAAATAAAATAATATCCAAAATTAGAAAAATTAAAAGAGAGTTCAAGTAGGAATACAATGTTGAAACAACTGAAATTGAAAATTAAAAATAAAAACATTAAAAGAACACCACACGGTATTAACTAATTTTTTTAAAAAAAATAAATTCTGAAATTAGAAAAAGAAAAATAAGATTTCAATTAGGAATACAATTTATAAATAACTAAAATTTGTGATAAAAATAAAGACTATTGAAAGAAAAGACCATCTAAAACACATGACGAGATAAATTAAGTAACAAGCCTATAAAGGAGTAGAGTGGTGGCGGTTGATAGTTGATACGACATATAAAAATTGTTAATAAAATATCAAATAGAATCCTAATGACGATTAAATTGAGAGACGTCAAGCAGACCGTGAAGCAAACAAATAAGGCGGTTGCCGGGACTTCTAGAAAGTAAAAAAAAACCATTGATAGTAATATTCGATTTTTAAAATCTCAATGGCAATAAAAATGAGAAGCGGTGCGCGGGGTGCATATAAGTAACTCAATTTTTTGATAAAAATAAAGATTATTGAAAGAAAAGACCATCTAAAACACATGACGAGATAAGTTAAGTAACAGGCCTGTAAAGGAGTAGAGTGGTGGCGGTTGATACGACATATAAAAATTGTTAATAAAACACAATTGCCGCAAAGGAGGAACGTCAGGTAGGCCGCGAAGCAAATGAGTAAGGCGGTTGCCGGGACTTCTAGAAAGTAAAAAAACAAACCCCATTGATAATCATATTCGATTTTTAAAATCTCAATGACAATAAAAAGGAGAAGCAGCGGGTGGGGTGTATAAGAGTATAGTTGCAGAGCCGTCGACGGGACTTCTAGAAAATAAAAAATGAATTCCAACGATAGTTATGTTCGACTTTTAGAATCACGAGGACAATAAAGAGTAGGCGGCGGACGGGTTGTAGAGGGGCATAGTGGCATTGTTTGATGGGACTTCTCAAAATTATAAAAAATGAAACTACAAGTCTAATTTTTAAAGGTTCGGAACTTCTAAAAAGTAAAAAAAACAATGATAATCATGTTCAATTCTAAAATCTCAATGACAATAAAGAAGGGAGGCAGCGGGCGAGCCGTAGAGGAGTACAATGGCAAAGCCGCTGACGGTTTGGTGGGACTTCTAGAAAGTAAAAATGAACCAAAACGATAATTATGTTCGATTTTTAAAATCTCAATGACAATAAAGAGATGAGATAGTTGATGGGCCGTAGAGGAGTATAATGGCAACGTTTGACGAGACATCTAGAAATTATAAAAATAAAACCCAACGTGACAATAAACTCTAAAAACTATAAAATCTATTTTTTAAAGGTTCCAAGAAGTATGAATAGAAATAGTGATAGATCGAGCAAGCAAATAAAGAAGAAGATGACATAAGGGGTAGTAATTGGTGTGACTTTTAAAAACTATATAATTAAAAACACGAGAATGATATGGTTTGGTCTTTCAAAGTCTTAAGATAATGAGATAGCTATTTAACAAATTTTGAATAAATCATATTAAAATAGATAATTTTGTATGGGTGCTAATTGCGCGGGCTACCCAGCTAGTTCGATTGAATTGCTGCCACTAAGTGTTACTATACAACATTCTCCTCTAAAAGAACTATATATATTTCTCCAAAAGAAAAAGGAACTATATATGTACCATATGTACAAACATTCGAGTGGCCGGGCATGATACTCGCTACTTTGCTAGGCACGTTGCGCACGTACAGCTCACGCTCAAGTCGTACACATTATGGAGTAGCCATTTGACAAACGTACGGATGACACAAGACGAATATCAAATTGCGAATTTTCAAAGCGTTTCTAACCAACACAACTACCTTGTGAGAATAGTTTATCCAAACCCTTGCGGCTGCGTGATCACCTCCTTCATGCAAGGACCTCCGTAAAGTCCACAAGTATACTCTTCGATCCCACACACACATAGTTGACATACACATCAACACATGTACAAATTCAAGTTGCCACGTTCACCTCAATAATGCTTGGGTACACATAATTTGCTACCACGTTTGTGACCGCTAATCTTCCCTATAAATACCAACCAAATCAAATCATCTTAAAAATCACCGAGCAATCTCCGCTTAACAATCCCAGCTACCTAACCGATTGCCCAACAAGAAAATAGCAATGGTTAGCCGGGGCACTTTCGTTTTTGCCGTCCTAGTGGCGCTACCGATACTGTCACTCCCCGTCTCTGGCTACGAGCAGAACTACACTGCCGGCAGACGGAGCACCATGTCGCTGGGCAGAGGCTACGGCTGGTCCTCCGGCGGCGCGACGTGGTACGGCGGCCCGCAAGGCGACGGCAGCGAAGGTAATTAAGTCGTTGTCAAGTGGTAGTATGAACTGCATGCATGTGCGTATTTGACCTCAAGTACTCACGTTGCCATGTTGGTTAATTAATCCAAATGCAGGCGGCGCGTGCGGTTACCAGAGCGCCGTCGGGCAGCGCCCGTTCTCGTCGATGATCGCCGCCGGCGGGCCCTCCCTCTTCAAGAATGGCAAAGGCTGCGGCTCATGCTACCAAGTCAGTAGTGTATTTGTATGTTTTACCAGTCAAATGCATGGGACGTGGAGCATTCCTAACTAAATTAGATGTACAGATTAAGTGCACCGGCAACCGGGCGTGCTCCGGCCGCCCAGTGACCGTCGTGATCACCGACTCCTGCCCTGGAGGGGTATGCCTGAACGAGGCGGCGCACTTCGACATGAGCGGCACCGCCTTCGGCGCCATGGCCAACCGTGGCATGGGCGACCGCCTCCGCTCCGCCGGAGTCCTCAAGATCCAGTATAAGAGGTGCCCCGCCATTGAATTTGCAAAATTATTTCTGGAGTTCTGGTCCACTCTGCAATGTACAAGTGCAGATTTTTACTGAATTTTTACTTTTGCCTGCAGGGTGCCGTGCAGGTTTGCCATGAACGTGGCCTTCAAGGTGGACGCGGGCTCCAACCCGTACTACCTCGCCATCCTGGTCCAGTACGCGAACGGCGACGGCGACCTCGCCGCGGTGCACATCATGGAGGCCCGCGGCGGCGGCGGGTGGAAGGCGATGCAGCAGTCGTGGGGCGCCACCTGGCGCCTCAACTCCAACACCGGGAAGCCGCTGAGCCCGCCGTTCTCGATCCGGCTCACCTCGGGCTCCGGCAAGGTGCTCGTCGCCAACAACGTCATCCCCTCCGGGTGGCAGGCCGGGTTGACCTACCGATCCACCGTGAACTACGCCGCCTAATGCGGCGGCGTCGTGCGCGACTACGTACGCGCGTGTTTGTTAACGTCGCCGCGATAGATCCATCGCGAGGCAGAAGCTCGCCTCGTCGAAGTGAGTTCGGTGTGTGCGCGTCCGGGAATCGTGCGCAGCCGCGGTAAAAGAGGAGTTCGATCTGTTAGTGTTAAGTGTTCGTGATGTGTGTTCTCCCTCCGTGGCCGTTTGCAGAGCTGCTTCTAGTGACGTCTCTTGCTTGGTTATAACTTAACCGAATTCTGCGTTGCGATTTGCACTTGTATAATTGCGTTGACATGGTTGGAGACATCCCGGGCCTGCCCCAACCGGCAACCGTAGCTCGGTTTTGACGAGCCCGGCCGTGTGACGGCCTCTATTCTTGCTCTGTTTTAGCTACCGGCATAATCGTATGCAGTAAGCGATTTCTTATTTTCCAACGTCCATATATATACATGATACGTCTTCTGTTCTCTGCCGAATCAGCTTACGTCAATCTATACGCCGTGATCTGACTTTGCCGAGATGGCAACCGCCGAACCGGATACTACATATACCTCTCGTTGGCCACAAATAAGGGCAACGACACCAGTAGTTGCGATCCAAGTCGGGGAAGGCCCACGCGCTAGTCATTCTAAGAATAAGTCCATTTTCCATCCCTCAAGTTTACACCGAGTCTACATGACACCCATAATCTCCAATACCAGAAATTATTTCTGACCCCCTCAAACCTTCAAAACCGTGAAAAATTGGTTCCATGAAAATATAGACCATATTTCCCATTGTTTTTGTTGACGTGGCATACGGTGGGGCCTACTTGTCAGTGTGTCGTCAGTGCCGTTGTTTGACAAATCAACAGCAAAGACCAGTTTCCGGCGAGCACGAGGCTGCAGGAGCTGGCACTGGTGGACAACTGGCCCTCCGGCGAGCTGCCGGGGTTGTTCGGCTGCCTCTCTCCCTCCTTCCTCCTCTCTTCCCCTTGTTCTCGGCCTCTCCTCCCAAACCAGGTGAGGCTAGCTGAGCGACGCAGCGACGGAGATGGCGAGGTGAGCGGCTCGGAGATGAGGGACGGACAAATGGTGAGGTGAGCGGCGCGGCAACAGAGATGATGATGAATGGCGGAAGAGGCGTGATGTGGTGGTGGCAGCCGCTGCTGTAGCCACGGCAGCGAGAAAAGTGGGGTGGAGGTCGAGGCGGATCAGGGACGATTTCTTCGAGGGCCTTCGACCGCCCGCCGCCGTCTCCACTCGCCGAAGGAGAGTGCACATCATCCACATCTCCCCCTCTCCCAAGTCTGCACACTAAGACCACTTGAGACGATGGTTGTGCCCGTCGAGGGCTGGCGGCTGGAATAGCTCGCTGGGGAGGAGGTTGTCCGACAGGTTGAGAAGGTGGCGGGTCATGAGCTACATGCGGTGAGACAGAGAGGGGGAGGTTGTCAGCTCAGCTTCCATGTGAGGGGACTGGAGGCGGGAAAGGGGCGACGTGGCCGACGAGCCCCACTGAGCTTGAGCTTGCTCGGCATTGGTGCAAGGGAGGTGGAGGTGGGAGAGGGAAGGGGAGACTACCGGTGAGCCCCTCCGCGGGGGCTCCTCAATCGACTGCAGCAGGTGCTCCTCTCTCTTTCCCTCATCTCCCAGTGACACCAACGACACCCTGACAAGTGGGACCTCCATATGCCATGTCAACAAAAAAGGGGGAAAATGATCTATACCGTCATGGGACCAACTTTGCACGGTTTTGAAGACTAGGATCAAGATATCTGGTATTGAGGGTTAGGGATATCATACAAACTCGGTGCAAAGTTGAGGGATGACAAATGGACTTGTTCCTCTATTCTAATACGAAGCCTTCTCCATTCCGAAACAGCGCTATTACTTGAGCCCAGAAGACCCAAGTTGAGAAAAAGCCCAACACATCAGCACCCCGTCCCTCCGCCCCTTCTGTCTCCAATGGCAGCCGCGCCGCCGTTGTGGCCCCAGTCGTCCAATCCCTCCACGGCTCCACCTCTGTGCCTTCCGTGCTCCGGCCCAGCTCAATCGTACATCATTGCAGCTCCACGCTTGAGATGGCATCCCCATGTGTCGACGTTTGATAGTCACGACTAGGGTATTTGGATGGTATGGGGATCGTTGGTATCAGGGTATGTGCGAGATTAAGATAAAAGAGATGGAGACATGAATTTTTATACAGGTTCGGGCCTCTTATCTGACAGGTAATAACCCTACATCCTGTTAGCCGAAACCAGTGTTGCTCTTTATTTATCTGGATCACACAAATACAATATTTGGGATAACCTATATAGCTGCCATCGTCTTGGCTTATGTGTATGTTATGTCTTGTGGCTTTGTGGCGTGTCCCCTTTTCTCCTAGGGGGGCTTGTATTTATACCCATAAGTGCCCCCTTGTCCAAGTAAGATTAAGGAGATAAATATGGATACAATCCGAGTAGTCCTTCCCGTTTTCATATAGAACTCTATTTATTCTTCCTTATCCGGAACTCTTTTTATATACGAGGTTTGTTTCCGTATAAGACATGATATGTGGTGGGTCCTGCCGAGTTTAGTCAACTACTATTAGATATGTGGTATCCATAACCATGACACCATGACACCATGGATGTTACATATCTTCGTTGAACCATAGCTTTTGTTATTATGCTTAGTCCTTTATATGATGTGATCGTTCATGAACTTTTTGAGGAATGTAAAAGAGTAAATATGCATTACCGGTATACGGACTTAAGTTAGTGTATTAACTTATAATACGTTTGTTTTGGGTCTGATACGTCTAGACAAGTTGTTTGTTTTGGTGAATAAACCTTTTTATTGTGTACCAGACAATTTCATTCACCAAACATGCACTTGCTTGAAACTAGCTTATCCCTTCATTCCAAAATATAAGCATTTTTAGAGTTGGACACGGTTATTAAGAAAGTTGGTAGAATTAAATGGGGGAGTGCTCTGACTGGAGAATAAGTGGAGATATGTGAGAAAATTGAATAGTGGAGGTTGTGATTGGTTGAAAGGAGAATGTTAATGAAGAAATTATTATATTTTAGGACAAATTCTAAAGACTAAAAGTTGTTATATTTTTGGACGAAGGAAGTACTTGATAAATACGTATTCTATTTGCAAAAATAGTGTAAATCACTTATATACTGAAAACCTGAAAATTATCGTTGGATTAAAATAAAATGGACATAAGATTCGTCCACGTGCGCGTGAACAAATCTTAGGCGTCCATTTTTAATCTAACGGTAGTTTTGAGGTTTCAATTATATATGTGGTTTCTGCTACGTATTATGACAACCCCCCCCCCCCCCCCCCCCAGGCTGTCACTCTGCTCTCTAACATTACTCTGTCCCGTTCAGATGATCTTTGTCCTGGTCACCGTAAGCAAGTGAAGAGCAGAATGTAAAACATGCTTCAATGAAAAAAATAATAAATCTCGCAAAACTATATATTGGTATACATTAACCAAACTATCGAAAAAAATGTAATTTTAAGACGTTGAATTACAAAACTTTAGATTTATCACTAAAGTTATCCCAAACCAAAAGTATCAAAAAATACAGATTTAGCAACAAAATTATCCTAAAACTACAAGTTTAGCATCATATTAATCACAAAACTATAACATTTATAGTTCAACTATAAAATATATAATTTTATGTTAACTTTAATATTAAATCTATAGCTTTTTATGTACTTTAAATATGTGGTTTTGTGATATGGTGCCTTAAATTTATAATTTTGGATAGTTTAGTTAAAACACCTATAGTTTCATGAAATTTATTTTTAAAAATTCTCTAGTAAACACATGCCTCAATTTGTTTACCATCCGCTCGCATGAGCACTGTCGCAAGCCATGGCCGATTGATTCGATGTCCCAGAGTGGAATCTCTTGGCAAAGATCATGCTGTACATTATCACGCCTGACAATAATAAACAAAAGCTACTTGTCCAGTGGGAGAGAAATACCAATATCCAATCAAGATCAGGAGTTCAAAAAAAAAATCTAAGATCAGGGGCATGATAACTTTGATCATTATTATCAGAAAGCAAAGCAAAGTTCTGCTTTATTCCTGCAAGCTTTATGTGCGTGCATATACCAACCAGACATCTCTTTCCAAAAAATGATCCTCACAAATGAAATAAATTAACCTTTGGCAACTTTAATTATTTTCGATGAAGCAGCTTATTGCAACCTAACCTCATCATTCTGCAAGTAGTACTGATGATGAAGAAAAACTATCAGCAGATCCATTTTTATATCCTCTCTGGATCTTCATGTCAACACCTCGATGCCGCTGTCCTATGAGTACCCAAGAACAGTATTCCCACTGATCATCCAACCTACTAAAATAGTGCAAATCTGTCGGCAGAAAGGGCCACTCCTCTCCAGCAACTCCAAGAACCGGTTGTTACAACGCCGCGGCCATTGTCGTCTCCTGCATCCATCGGTCGCTTCGACGTCTTAACAGAAGTTCCCATTACCATCATAAACTAGCTTATCAACCGGCAAGGCAAGACTAAAAAGATCAGAGGCATCTGTTCTTCACTTGCCCACAAGCCACGCGTCTCGCCGTGACACAAGACGCCGTACCTGAACAGCAGGTAGCACGTACGCGGGAAAAGTCTCGCATAGTTAAATGTGTACGGGTTCGCCGGGCACCGACGCGATAATTCGCCACTCGCGCTTGTTTTTCCCTCATAAATCCAGCCTCGTCGATCACGGATGCCGCCCCCAACCGCAGTAGTGCAGTACCAGCCATCAATCAGATCTGCCCCTGGATGCATTTGTCGTCCGCTTGATCATAAATAAGCTCGGGTGATCGGGTCAGGGGCCTCAATGGAAGGTGCCTGAAGGCTTCATCTCCGTGTCTCGATTTGTTTTAGCTCCAGTTTGCGTGTACGTGCTGAGTTTTTTTATGCCGATATCTTTTGTTTCTTTGCTCCTTCCTCGTGTCGCCTTCAGCTGTTCAGTTCCGCCATTGTTAATAGCTTCTTTTTGCCCCCACGCTTGCCTCCCTCTGGTGTATAAAGTGTCTGCATTTGCAAGAGTTCTCTGTGTACTTGTGTAGCATAGGTTTTGTGAAGAACCAAGCTTTTGCCATTGAATTCTTCAGGAGATGGCGTCCACTGAGTTAGCGTCGGATGTGTACGCGCTCCCGTGCGGCGACGACGGCACGACGGCGCTGTCGACGCCGGTGGTCGTGTCGGTCCTCGCGTCGCTGCTGGAGCGGCACATCGCCCGGAACGAGAGGGACCAGGCGGCGGCGGCGGACGGCGAGGCCGCGAGGAGGGCGCGCGCCTTCGACAGCGGCACGGTGCTGGACATGAGCCTTCACGCGTTCCTGGAGCGGTTCTCCCGGTACGCGAACGTCTCGCCGCAGGTGTACGTCGTGGCGTACGCGTACCTGGACCGGCTTCGCCGCGGCGACGGCGTGCGCGTCGTGTCGGCCAACGCCCAGCGGCTGCTCACCACAGCCATCCTCGTCGCCTCCAAGTTCGTCGAGGACCGGAACTACAAGAACTCGTACTTCGCCGCGGTGGGCGGGCTGACCGCCGCGGAACTGAGCTCGCTGGAGCTGGACTTCCTCTTCCTGATGCAGTTCAGGCTCAACGTGAGCGTCAGCGTGTTCCAGAGCTACTGCCGGCACCTGGAGAGGGAGGTGAGCTACGGCGGCGGGTACCAGGTGGAGAGGTGCCTCAAGAAGGCCCTCGTCTGCTCCGGCGAGGCGCAGGCGCAGCAGAGGCAAGCGGCGTCGGCGGCAGCCCAGTAGACGTCAGCTCCGGAGCCGCCATTCGCGCGTGATCTGCCAGTTGCCCGCCACAGGCGGCCGGCACAGCAGCCGCACGATTTGATCGCCGGCAGCTGCCACTCGAGTGCCCAGAAAGATCAAGGATGTAAATAGTTATGGTTTGCTCGTGTACTTAGGATAGGAGTAAGAATTGTGCAATGCAATTGTTCCTCTCTACCTCGATTGGTAAAAGAACTGATGCGGGGACAAGTAAAATTGATTTTCTTTCATGTTGTCACGACCGATCAACTTTGCTTTCCGGCAAATCAAGTCTTTAAAACGCTAACGGAATCGATAGCGACAAGGTAGCGAGATTACATCAAATCAACTCCAGTAGGGACCAAATATGACTACCAATTAACACTTTACCTTAACTCATGGTCCATGCCAATGGGCGAACATAGCACGCAAAATTTTCTCTGTTGCGATATGCGAATGCGTTGTCGGTGCACATTAAAAACTTTTCGGATAATAAGAGTTATTTTTAATGAATTACTCGACGCAGCACAGCTTGCAAGCTGCAGCAACTCGGCCGCCCCCACGGCAGCGTACGTACGCGGCGGCCCATACGGTACGGGAAAGGGTTCTGTGCAGGTGCAGGATCTGATTTCTGGCAACGCGGATGCCCCTGGTCCATGGACCATGGCTGAGTGAGGAGAGGACTGAGGTCCTTGTCAGCATTCCATGGCAGCATCTTGTGACGGAAATAATTTACCCACAGACTAGAGCGATGACAAAGCTTTGCCCGTTCTTGGAGGGCACCAGTGACCAGACACTATATCTGACGAGATGAAATTGCCCAGATGCAGGAAACTACGTGGAGTACATGAGGAACATTTCAGGCGAGTAGCTCTGGGCAGCTGACGGGGAGTCGGTGTGGGGGAATAGGATGAGCGTGCGACGGCGACGGCAAAGAATAGAATCGAGGCAGCGGGACGAATGGAATGGCCGATCAGCTGCGCTGTCTCGGCCCACATTCGGAGGCACGTCGGCTGTGAATCTGTGATTGGAATAAGTTGGTCCCTTAATTTTCAAAATTCGTCCCTTGACCATAAAATCAGGTACAATGCATCATCCAACTTACAAAACCAGTACAAACGAGATCCCTCAGTGATACTATCCCCGGCTTCGACTGACGTGACGCCTACATGGTTCATTTGACTACTACGTCTCACGTGACGTTGGCATGATGCTTACGTGACAATTTAATATGGGTAATAAAAAAAAGCATGAGCCCACATGTTAGTTACACCACAAAACAATTAAAAATGATGGGGCCCATGTGGGCCCCAAATGTCATCCGCGCTCCTCCGGTCCACCCTTTTGCCCTCTCCCCTCTCTCTCCTCTCTCTATTCTTACTCATCCTCACTCCTCCCTTCTTCCATCTCCCCTCTCTTCATCATCTCTTCCAAGGTGGCGGACGGGGGTGGGGGTGGGGGTGGGCAGCGAGGAGAATGGCGGAGCAGGCAAGCGAGGCAGGTGGCGGACGGAGCTAACCGATGGTGGGCGGCGACCTCACCGGTGCCTTCCCTCTTCGACCGTGCCTCCAAGGCCACCACGCTCCTGGTGCTCGTGGTGCTCTTCCGCATTATGACCCCCAAGTGCGTAGACTAGAAGTGGATTCCGCCGGTTTTCTTCTTCATTTGTTGTCTCTCTGTTACTTCCAAAGACCAAACAAAACATGGGTAGGAAAGAGAAGAGGAGAGAGGGGAAAATTTGGGAGCCCTAGATTTCGACAGGTTGGCTATAGTGAGGGGGAGTGGATGTATTGGCGCGCGGATCTGGTGGGTGCAAGAGGTTGGGTGGGGCGGTGAGATCTATGTGGCAGGGAGGAGACGAGAGGAGGAGGAGGGGAGAAGGGTGAGAGGAGAGGGGAGGCGGTTGAGTTGTCGTTGTCCGCGGACTCCGTGGTGGTGATCGTGGTAATTGTGGCGGTGGTGGGGCATGTGCTCATGGCATGGTGGAAGTTGAGGTGCGACGCGGTTTTGGAGGGAAGGAGGTGTGGCGGCTCACGCGGCTGGCCTAGGAGCCACAGGAGGAGTCGGAGTTGGTGGAAATGAAGTTGGCGCATGTGTACTAGTCAGAGCTGTTCCCGAGCACAGTGCACGCCGCGGAAATATGGATGAGGCTTTGTGGGCGTTGCCAACGGTGGTCATCTTCAGCTCCTCTGCGCCACCCACTACCGCTATGCCCTTCTCCTTGCAGTGTAGGGGAAGGAGAGAGGGGATAGGGAGAAGAGGGAGGAGTGACGATAACACGTGGGGTCACATGGGCCTCAACTTTTTTTTTATTATCTTGTGTGTAGCTGACATGTGGGTCCCACGTCTTTTAATTTTTACAGAATCAAATTGCCACATAAGCGCCACGTCAATGTTACGTGGGATAAAGACCTTGTCAAAGGAGCCACGTATGTGTCACGTCAGTTAAAACTGAGGACAATACCACCGAGGGATCTCGTTTGTATTGGTTTTATATGTTGGGGATGCGTTCTACTCAGTTTTGCGCTCAAGGGACTAATTTTGGACTCGGCGACTGAGGGACTCAAAGTGAACTTATTCCTCTGTAATTCATGTTGCGCGTTCGTGTGAATACAGTCCCGGCCCAACTAATTGCGGCAGATGGGAATCCCGTTCCGGCCCATGTAGTTGGGCACGTGTGTGGGGATCCAGTTACAGCCCAACTCGTGTTGACGGACCTGGCGGTGCGTTACTTGCCCGGTCGATTGATCAGCAGGTTGACGCAGGATGGCGAAAGGAGCCGAAAATTCCCCGGGAAGGCCTTATTTTAGAATCGCCAAACAAGGGGAGGGTGGTAATCGTAAGAATTTGGATCGCTGCCACTTATTGCAATCCAACATACGGCGCTCTCTGGAAACTTCCGAAACAAGAGTGTACAATCTCATCTAAAAAAATGTGCGATCTAGAGTATAGCAGCCGTCGCATATTCAGACGGATTTGCTATTCAGATGTGCATACGCGAATGATACTTACATGATTATCATTTTTAAAATTACGACCAAAATTTGCTACTCCCTCCTTTCCATATTATAAGTCATTTGATTAATATTATCAAAATACATTCAATGTTAAATTTAACAAAATTAATTTTAGATTCTGCAATCCGAAGGAGCCCCAAGGTACACTAGTGCACGTGCGCTGTTGTTAAAAAACTAACAACTCCAATCCTACATATATGTCAAATGGCATCCGTTGGACGAACATGATTCGTGGGCTGGTCCCTTGACTTTCAGATTCAGAGATATGTAGCTTATTATCACCGGCACGTGTCACTCCTAGGCGTTGTCAAACGTCACTAGCTAAAGCGGCCGATGCACCGCGAAACACGCCTATGAGAACTATATATGTCTATGGACGTGCAGTAGTGACGAAGTTTTTAAATTTGGATGGCTGTTTTGGACCTTCAGGTTCAGGAGAACTCGCGGCATTGCTGCGATCGTGAGTTCGTGACACCGGACGGAGGCGCGCACTTGATCGGCGCTCCCATCTCCAGGTCGAATTCGATTCCGCCGCGGCGAACCAAGCGCATGCATGTGTGAATCTTCACCGTCTTTGGTACTTAGTCGATTATCACATATATATATGTCTCGCACCGAAAGTTGATTTGATTTTTCGTCGAGACATGTTGACATTGTGATTTTCCATACAACGATTGCATCTTCTTGAGCATCATGGCCAGATGCAGCCGTCGCCGTCATCACCTCGGGCACCGCCGCCGACGGCGGCGCAGGCGTCGGGGTACAAGCACTTCTGCAGAGTCTGCAACAAGGGGTTCACGTGCGGAAGCGCCCTAGGCGGGCACATGAGGGCCCACGGCGTCGGCGACGGCGATGGGTTGGGTGCCGATGATGACGACGACGACGACGACGATTCGCTCGGCGATGAGGCCGTGCGGCGTGCGCGCGGCGGGGCAGATGATCCTTGGAACGCGGGCGGCCCGTCGTCGTCAGGGGCAGCGACACACGTCTACGAGCTCCGCACCAATCCTAACCGGGTCACGAGGAGCCGCCAGGTGTGCAAGAACTGCGGGAAGGAGTTCACGTCGTGGGAGCATTTCCTCGAGCACGGCAAGTGCAGCTCCGGCGAGGACGACGACGACGAGGACGACGTGGATCACTCGCTGCAACCGTGGTCGCCTTCGCCCGAGGCCGACGGCGAAGAGGATTCTGCACCGGCCGCCGGTTGGTTGAAAGGGAAGCGCTCGCGTCGCTGCAAGGGCACAGGAGTCGATTTGTCACCGACACCCTCAGCGTGCGCTGCCGGCGAGGAGGAGGACCTGGCCAATTGCCTGGTCATGCTCTCGTCGTCCAAGGTAGATCAGGCAGGCGTCACTGAAGCAGAACAACGGTCATCTTCTTCCGCGAGTAAGGAACATAAGAGACTGATCACGTTCATGGAGCCGACGACGTATGTACTGGATACAGTGATGGCGCTTCCCCCGCCGGCGCCGGCGCCACAGTATGTCTCGACCGTGCCTCGAGGCATGTTCGAGTGCAAGGCGTGCAAGAAGGTTTTCTCTTCTCACCAAGCTCTCGGCGGGCACCGTGCCAGCCACAAGAAGGTGAAGGGCTGCTTCGCTGCCAAGCTGGAGAGCAACGCCGCAGAGGTGGCTGAGCCATCACACCATGCAGAGGTCGCTGATCGGAGCGAGGACAATCCCGCCAAGGCCACTTCTGATGCCAGGAGGAACGTGCACGCAAGCATCGACGGTGATGGAAACGCCGGCACGAGCGATGCCGCGGCAGAACTGTCGATGGCCATCGTGCCCATAGAACCGCCGGTCGCCGCGCTCGCCGCTGCACCGTTGAAGAAGAAGGGCAAGATGCACGAATGCTCGGTCTGCCATCGACTGTTCACCTCCGGGCAGGCGCTTGGAGGCCACAAACGGTGCCACTGGCTGACGTCAAGTTCGGCGGATCACACCGCCTCAGTCCCACCCCTAGCCGACGACCTTGTCCCGCTCTCGTTCCGGCCAATGTTGGACGCACCGGAGCCCGCTCTCGACCTCAGCATCGCGGCGAACCCGCCACTGCTGGCCTCGGCCGCAACAGTCCGTCCGAAGGTCGGCGGCAGCTCGTTTCATCTCGACGCGCCACCACCGGTATACATCCCATCGTCGCCGGCGATACCCAGCCAACGGAACAAGGCTACCGCGACAACCGGCAGCCAGAACGCCAACGACGCGGTCGGGTTAAGCACCGCCGCAGCAGAGGACGAGGCGGACAGCACCACCGTCAAGAGAGCGAGGCTTAGCGATCTCAAGGACGTGAGCATGGCAGGGGAGACGACACCGTGGCTGCAAGTCGGCATTGGCTCCTCGTCTCGCGGGGGTGCTGATGATAACGACAAGGAGTGATTGATCTGCGAATTGATCAGTACATACATATATACTGTTACATTATTTCCATGCGTTTGCAATTGCATATATGTTGTTCGCATGAGCATATAAGTATTTGCCTTCTTTTTTGTGACTTTTTCTTTTCTTTTAGACTTGTAGGTTTTTTTTTCTTCTCAAGATAGTGAGTATGTTTTACAAAGAGGTAACATATGAATTTGGGAAGAGGCAGTAGACTTGTAGGATTTTTTTTTCTTCTGAAGAGAAGCAAGTAGTGAGTATTTTTTCACAAGAGGTAATGTATTAATCTGTCAAGCTGCGTGACCAGAAATTTTTTTAAAAAATAGTTGCTTCTCTTGTTTTTTCACAAGAGGTAATGCATTAATCTGTTAAGTTGTATGACCAGAAAATTTAGGTAATGTATTAATCTGTTAAGTTGTATGACCAGAAAATTTTTAAAGAAATAGTTGCTTCTCTTGTTTTTTCACACAAGATAATGTATTAATCTGTTAAGTTGTATGACCAGAAAATTTTAAAGTTATAGTTGTTTCTCTTGTTTCTTCTCGAGAGAAGCAAGTATTGAGTATTTTTCACAAAAGAGGTAATATATGAATTTAATCTGTTAAGTTGTATGACCAGAAAATTTTAAAGAAATAGGTGCTTCTCTTGTTTCTTCTCAAGAGAAGCAAGTATTGAGTATTTTTTTCACAAAAGAGGTAAATACTAGAAAATTGGTGCGCCGTTAGCACACCATCCATATAGCAAACCATATTAATACTACATATACTGTTTATTGTTATTTGTAAAAGCGTAAAATTTTAAAGAGATATTTTAGCAGTTTTTAATTTTATGCCTACAAGTCTGAGTAAACATTATATTTGTAAATATTTAAATTACAGAGGAAAAAATGATGTCAAATATATGTTGGTTGATGGTCGATTTAATTATTATTAATAAGATAAGGCTAAAAGGTGAAGCCTTATATGAAAATTGTTTGGGACTATACTAATTGAGAAAATCCCTTATATACCCCTGAAATTTTACCTAATCTCTTCTATACCCCTGAATTTTGCTTACTTCCTTGTATACCCCCAAAATTTGATTTTGATCCCTTGCATACCCCTCCCATCAGTTGACCGTTAGTTGACCGTCTATTTTCCATAAAAATGACCATTTTACCCTTGGATGAACAAAGAAATTCATGAATTACATTATTAAAAATATAAAAGCTTCTCGCATGAGACTATTATAGTTATGAGTTTGTTGTGCGATGCATTATTTATCCCAAAAATATTTTTAGATCATGAAATAAAAAACACGTATTTATTTTTTTAAAAAAAGTCATAAAAATGAGGAGCATTCATATAAAGATAGGACTACCAATGTTCACAACATTTTTTTTATGAATGCTCCCGATAAAAAAATCCATTGTCCTATTAAAATTTGAAATAAAAATTTTAATTTATTACATTTATTTTATTTTCAAAATTTATGTCAAAATTTTCTGCACTAATTATTTAGTTTCATTAGTCTTATAAAATGCACATACTGTGCACCCAAACAAAATTTTTTCAATTGTTTTTTAAGCTTATATTTAAACCTAAAGCATCTAGGGCAAAAAGGATATTTGCAACCAAACGTAACAGTGAAATGATGGAAAATGTAACGGTAGGGGCATGGAAGGGATCAAATTGAATTTTCAGGGGTATAGAAGGGATTGGGTAAATTTCAGGGGTATGAAAGGGATTGAGTGAGTTTTCAGGGGTACACAGGGAATTTACTCATAATAACTAGAGGTTTCTTATAATAGCACTAACAGTTGGAATTGTTTTTTTAACTGGTTATGAAAAAAAAGGGAAATGATTTTTTCTTTTTCTTCTTCCCATATTTTTATTTTCTTTCAGCCTAAGTATAACATTCTAAATTCTCTTTATTTATTTTACTTTTACATTATTAAATCCTCGATGGTTAAAAATCTTATCATTTGTATCTCTACCGCGCTCTCTGTTTTTTCCAAATATTTGCTTATCTTCTCAGTAGTCGAAAATAGTCATGACTCATGACTACGAGAGGACCACATAGTTCACACACTATTTGAAGAGCCACATGTGAATGGAGAGGGACACGCCTCCATATCTTCTATTGCGAGTAGTACACCATTTAGATGTCACAATTCGTAGCCTCATATGTATAATTCGGAAAACTATAGCTATACCACCTCTCTTAGGGCGTTCGTAGTGCAAGACCCTCCTCAAAGTATCACGTAGGATGAGTTAGCATATCTCAAATTTGTTTATCCTATAATGCAAAGTAACTCTAGAGATATTCTTGATTTTTCATGCCGGGCCCTCATATTTCTTACTTTAGTTCTTATGTTTTTCAAATTTATAGAATAGTCCAACATTACACTAAATACCCTAAAAATTAGAAACAAATATACAAATCTCACCTCCCTATCCTTTCCCAATTCCCTGCTTCCATATCCTAGAAAATTGGCGCACCATCGGCACACCAACTTATAGCTGGATATATTTACTCATTTAGAAAAATTATTGTTGTTGTTGTCTAGAGTTTCAAATGCAGTAGATTTACAAGAACCTATTTAATGAATTTTGAAAAGACTGAGGAACGATTAACTTATAGTAATAACCATATTTATGTAAAGATTTAAGCGTTGTAAAAGAATTAATACATAAAGCAAAATTATGTATAAAAATTATGTATAGTACTTGCCTATTTGCTTTCAAACCTTTGTTTTTCTCTTCCATTAGACAGAGTAATTAACACCTATTATTAATTGGTAAGATTAGATCATTAGTGGACCGAAAACTAAAGGATATATTTTTTGACAAGTCTCTCTAAGAGAAATTTCTTCTGCTAACATACCAGTGTCACCTACTCCTCTCTGTAGTCTCATATACGATACTCCCTCCATCTTAAAAATAATACAAGCTAATCATAGGTACAATCGAACATAGTTAGAGCAATATTATCAACAAATAGAGTAATATGGTTAATTAGTGTATGCATGGCTAATTAATTCTTCTCTACCACATTTAGATAGCCGTACTTCTCTGCTGTATATTATAATTCAACTTGAAAAAAGTTTTGCTAATGAAAGATTAACTTGTTTAAGCGTCTATAAGTACCTTTGGACAAATACTTTGGAAGATGTGTCTTTTGAATTAGTATAATTTACAGAATTTGTTAACCTATAGGAAAATTACGAAATTTATGTAAGGCATAATTTTTTAGGCTAATGACTCTAATTGTCAGCTTAATATCCAAAGCCAGTCTTTGTATTAAAAGATTACTCTTTGTATTAAAAGTTAAAACCAGTCTTAAAAAGTTAAAGCATCAAAGGTCTTGGAAATCAATATGTGACTATGTGAGTACTGACATAGTTTGTGCGTATAAATACACGTGAAGAACCATGTTATATTTTAATTTTTCTAGAGACTTCGGAAGGGTTACATATCCAACTTCTATCTTAATTTTTCTAGAGACTTCGGAAGGGTTACATATCCAACTTCTTCACAAGGGTTAGGCAAGGTGATTTATTGACTCCTGACTTTTCCTGAGAGTTAAGTGGACAGAAGAATGCAGTTTAATTATGTATACGGGAGGACACGTGGCATAATTTCAGAGTAGCCCTGGAAAATTTTGTAGAGTGCCACGTGGGCCAATGGCAGCCTGGATGCTGCACCCTGAAATCGTTATTTAAGATATGAATTTTTGAAGCTGTATGCCTGCATGACCAGAAAATAGAAAATCAAAAATTTCCGTTGCCGGGACTCGAACCCGGGTCTCTCGGGTGAGAGCCGAGTATCCTAACCAGCTAGACTACAACGAATTTATCCGTCGATGTGTAAAAAGGTCTTTCACATCACCTAGTTTTACTTTCCCTCACGTCAAACTACCGAATATATTTACCGTTCTTATATCAGTAGCTATATTTATGACGCCATATTTTTCACCAAAAAATAGTCGATATGTATTTACATCGTAAGTTCTTAAATTACATATGTAATTTTAGTGTATTTATAATGTAAGTCTCAAAATTACATATGTAAGTCCCAAAATTACATATGTAATTTTAGTGTATTTACAATGTAAGTTTCAAAATTGTATATGTAAGTCATAAAATAGTATGTAATTATAGTGTAATTAGTATGTAATCGTCTATCATCACGCGATATATGTGTGAAAATAATCTTCTCTCTCATGGAAGCACATGCAGTGGGAAGCCTGTGCGGCTGTGTGACCAATAGGCATGTATACCGACTGTAATCAACGAAAATTTATGGCGACATAAATGTAGCAAATCCGTCTCAAAAAGACCAAGTAAACATGTAGGAATATCATAAACCCTCTTTAACGAAACTTTCCGAACCAACCCGGCATTAAAGGGGACAACAAAGCTATGGCTGTGTTTTCACACCAAAACTAAAAGTTTGGTTGAAATTGGAATGATGTGACGGAAAAATTGGAATTTTGTGTGTGTAGGAAAGTTTTGATGTGATGAAAAAGTTGGAATTTTGAAAAAAAAATTACAACTAAACACGGCCTATATGTTTGATCCTTTTTCGTTTTCTACACGATGCACTACAGGTCTACAGCAAATGCATCAGCATTCGGTAGCTTCTTCTTCGCTTCGTTCATCGGTTTACGTGTCGAACAGCCAGCTAGCTGCTCACAATTAAGCTTGATGGCGCACGCGGCTCTCGTCAGCTGGCGAGCGCCGGCGCATGCGATGCGAGGCTGCCGAGCGAGACGACGACGGCGGAAACGACGGGGGCTTCGCTTCGTTCGGCGCTTGACTCGGATCGCTCCACTCCAATTCGAGCGCGAGGCAGGCAGCCACCGGGACGCGACGCTGACTTCTTCCGTAATCCTTTCTGACCCAATCCCGTTCGTCCTCGCCTGACGCGCTCCCGTCCATCCAGCCTTGCTGAATCCAAGGAGTTGTGCGAGTGGACATTACTGCACGCTAGCCCTCTCGTAGCCCTCGCGGCTTCCGTTCTTTACCCCGCTCCGCTCCGCTGCACGCACGAACGCACGCTCGTTTTGAAAGCGCGAGAGGACAAGACGGCCATGCGCGCCGGAGAGCAACGTGTGGTTTTCATCGCCATCGCATCGCGCGTCTTGTTCCTGGACTGGAGTACCATCTAAACAGTTCCGTTGCACGGAAAGCTTTGGTCCTCTGGATCCTCGACGCGACTGCAAGTGAAGTTCACAGGGTAGGACAATGACCGGAGTACTGGACCGAATCGCGGATTTGTACTCGTTCCTTCGATTTTCGTTTTCTCCATGAAAGAAAAAAAGACATCGTGGCACACACCATTGTGGAATAGTAACATAGGAAGACACTAACCCTTTGCTTCCACTGATTGCCAAGCCACTGCATTTTACAGGAGAATACAAATCTGCTTCACCTGCAGGCCCAAGGAAAGGAAAAGGAGAACACTGCATGTTTTGTAAGTATTCAGAGCTAATCACTTCGATATCATATCATGAATTCGGGATGATGATTCCAATGAATACTCCCAAAGGTTGGAGATAGGGATCAAGAGCAGAACAAGGACAGCACCAAGATGACAGAAAAGAAAAAAGAAGGTGACAGATAGGGGGAAAAACTTCACACTCCAGTAGAGTATACGAGAGGAGGAGCGAAGCAAGAAACCAACACACGCCTATGATCTCATCGCCTGCCACGCTGCCTAGTGTTCAGAACGGAATTGAAGCCAGCCAGCCGATCCCCCTTGACTTGTACCGTATCTGTACGCTGTACTAGTACAGTACTGACAGTACCAGCTACAAAGTGAAATGGAAATTTGGAAATTACCTACCGAAGTCCAAACACGCACACACACAGAAACACACAGAAACACACAAACACAATGAACACCATGCATCGGCAGCACAGTAGCATGCTACTAACATGACAGCCGTAGCAAGCATAACAAATGCTTGATCAACAATGATGCTGGATACTTGGTCGCTACTTGATGGTAGTACTAAATATGATCCTGAGTGGCTAGCTCGCTAGCTGGTAGGTGTTTATTCGGGGTGAATGGCCATCATGTACATAAATCGGGGGCGCACCTAATGCGTACCCATCATAACCAGAGAGATCCCTAAAGCGGTTAGTTGGAAAGGCTAGCTCTCGCAGATGCTTTGCTTGCTTGCCTGCTAAGTGCTAAGCTCTCAACGAGCATGCAGCAGCTGGTGCATATGCATGCCTGGTGGTTAAAATTGGCAGGAAGATAATGTGAAGGGGAGGCCAGGAGTAATTCCAGGGAGATTAAGAACAAGATGAGGCTGGATTTGGATGGGCATAATTCTGAGAGATCCGCTGATGAGATGCATGCATGCTGGCCGGGCACTCGGTCAGGCTTTGTGGGTAAGCAACTAACGTGCTGCTAATAAGGGATTAATCGTTGCCTAAACCGTATCGAGATCTTTTGTTCCCACCATACCCAGATCTTAATTTAATGAGAAAGGTATAAAAACAGTGGTGCATTGTAAGTGACTCTTGTGATTTAGACCCCGGCTGATTAATCTGCCACTTATTACTATCACTGATTCCCCAAGCCACACTCCACCCTGTGTTCGCTTTGTTCTCACTGGTCTACCCATCTTCCCAACCTTCTTGTCACCTACTCTTTGTTCCCATCTCATTCTGAGCCCTCTATTCAGACATATCTCACCCAACTTACTGAACGCCTGAGCTGCACCAAGGTGTGGCCTTTGGATGATCAGGATATAAAAATGGTGGTTTAACAAGGCAAAGCTATATTAAGGAGATCCATCAAAAGGGCAATTTGACAGCCATGAAGTGTAGTGGCATCTTCCAAGGCGGGTAATTTTCAGAGCTATTGCATTGAGTACAGCAGCATCCCACAGTACATTCCCTCGCATAGAAAGCCATATGGCACGTATGCAAAAGCCATTTCTGTATGGTAGCAAATAAAGATTTTTAATTAGGACTAATCTGATCACCAAAATAGCCACCATCTCAGCAATACAACCGCTACTGCTAAAAACTACGCACTGGACCACATGATGGTACATGGCAAAACATTAGACTCATTTCATCGAAAAGAACAATAGGCTCATTCCTTTCATCCGTACTAACAATTAACTACAAGCATCAGTCCGAAATCTTCCATACGGTTGGGCTTGGTTCTACACGAGCAGTAAAAGAAATGCTGCAAATACAACCAGTCAAGAATACAATGAGTCACCCAGAAAAAAAGGGGGGAAATAAAAGGAAAACAATAAACGAGAGGAAGCTGGCAGTTCCGCTCTATTCTAACTCCCCACGGAAGCAGCGCTTTCATCTCTCTCCGTTTCCTCTGAAAGCTCGTATTTTTAGCTCTCCTAAGCTCTGTGCCTCATCAAGCTCTATCCAAGCTCTCGCCATGGCCAAGAACACATGCAAGCTCTGCTACCGCCGCTTCGGCAACCCCCGCGCCCTCGCCGGCCACATGCGCTCCCACTCAGTCGCCGCCTCGAGGTCGCAGATCTCCTCGACGTCCTCCGCGTCCACATCCGTCGCGGTCGGCGACGACGACGGCGGCGGTGATGCCAAGAGGCCCATCCAGGGATACGTGCTGCGGGAGAAGCCCAAGCGGAGGGTCCGCCTCGCCGAGTCCGACTTCTCGGATCGCGAGAGCGAGACGGAGTACTACTCCTCGCCGCCTCACGGCAAGCGCGCGAACACCGGATCGGGCGATGTCGAGCAGGTGAGCTCGGTGTCCGACGCCACGTCGGAGGAGGACGTAGCGCTGTCCCTCATGATGCTCTCCCGCGACACCTGGCCAGCCACGCCGCCGCCGCCGCCGCCCTACCGTCTCCGCGGCGCAGGCTACGACGACGGGAGCGACGGTGGCGACGCACCTCCGGCTCCGGCCGCAGCGGCCGCGCAGAAGCGGACGCGGTTCCAGTGCCCCGCATGCAAGAAGGTGTTCCGATCGTACCAGGCCCTCGGCGGCCATCGCGCTAGCCACATGCGCGGCGGCAGGGGCGGCTGCTGCGCGCCTCCGCCTAACCCTCCTCCTTCTCCCGCTACGCCTCTCCAGCCATTGCCGGAGTGCGACGGCGGCGAGGAGGAGGGCGCGAAGCCGCATCCGCACGAGTGCCCCTACTGCTTCCGCGTGTTCGCGTCCGGCCAAGCTCTGGGCGGCCACAAGCGGTCCCAGCTGTGCTCAGCCGCGGCGGCGGCCGCATCGGGCGACGATATTCCAGCCATGATTAAAAGCAACGGCTTCATTGATCTGAACCTCCCGGCGCCGTTCGACGACGTGGAGCTCTCCGCCGTTTCAGATCCTTTCCTCTCCTCGAAGCCAGGTTCTTGAAAGCAAGCAGAGCATGAGAGAGCGAGCATACTGGCTGTTCAGTGCTCTCTCTCCTTTCGGTTGATTCCAAAGAAGATGGTTAGAGCTATGGATTCGAGAGAAAGAGCTGCTTAACCAGGCAGCCGAAAAGGTAAAGAAAATATCATAAAAAGGAGACATCTTTGCTTTGGTAGTTTTTTTTTTCTCAGTTGTTTTGTTCATTCAGCTACAAAAATTGCTTGATGCTGTCCTCCATTCTGTTCTGTCTTTTTGTTTGTTTCAAGCTACCCGAACAGTGTACATTGGGGCAACTAGCAGAGCTTAGCATCTTGCTTACTTCTTGATCATAATCTAGCATGAAAATATTCCACCGAAAAACAGAGAGAGCCACAGGAGAAAAATTATAGCTGAACTGTTGCTTTCTGTTGCAGTCTCCAGCTGTTCTTGTTCCAATTGTCCATGGTACGGGATTTGGCCAAACAATAGGCGAGATAGTAAGCAGTGTAGTAGAAAAGAAAAGCAACAAAATGGCAGTACCAATGCAGGATCAGCCTAGTAGTCCCTAGTGTGTTCATGGTTGCATCCACATGCAGGGTGCAGCAACAGCGGCATTCTGCTCCTGCTTTCTCTCCTCCCTGCTTCCACTGCCCACCACCACGACCACCTGCCTGCCCGGTTTGGCTGCTGCATATGCCGCCGTGACGGCGTCCCCCCTTCCCTTCTCACGCTAGGAGCAAAGCAGAAAAGAAAGCCTCGTACTTTGCCTAGTCCATTTTGTCCGTCTCTTGCTTGGCTGCTGCTCCGTTCATTCCTCTCACTGTGCGATGGGCCCCACTTGTCCGGCGCAAACATATGCGCTGGATCCTAACAAATCGTCTGTCTAATGCAACAGAATTGCTGTTCCTAAACTAAGCATGCAGCACTGAGAAAAAAAAATGTAGAACTTTTAGTTGTTTAAAAATGCTTGGGAGAATTAGTTGGATCTCGATGGACAGTTTGTGTGGTTTCGGCAGCAAAACTGGAGCTCGATTTTGCAGGAGCTGCTCTCCTCGTTTGGTGGGCAGGTAGTTATAAGCATGGCCCACGTCTCGCGTCCACGTGGCACCGTTCTTTTCTCCTCGCTGGGCCCACCTGGATTGCATCGGCGTGTCAGTGGCCACTGACTTTGCGCGGTGTGGGCGTTACTGACCCAGGGTGGGATTAGCACGACAATTAACGCAGTTAATCAGGGGTTAATTCTCGGTTAATGAGTCTGGCCATCGTACTTCTCTCCCCTGTGGAAGCTGTGTGGGCACGCATCCCGAGGCGGATCTCCCGGCGTAATCGGTTGGTCCACACCGAGCAGCAGGACGGGACAAGGTATTGATACGTTGGCCCGACCTTGTGCTGTCCCCCCGTGTCCGTGTGGCCGTAGCGCGGGGCGCGCCTGGACGAAGGCAGTGGGGTTTGCTCATTTGCTGTCTCACGTGGCGACACGTGATGGATCATGGTTGGACGGCTGCGATCAGGTGGCGCTTACCCTTGCGCTTTTTTTAGACGAGGCAGGTGATCTCCCTCCCTCCTTCTCGCGCTCTCTGCTTGTACTTTTCTTGCCGCTGTTAAGCCGCACCTAAATTATCTTAGCAAAAAAGTGGAATTCGTACAAGAAGCATTCGTTCACCTCTTTTCTTTTTACGGGGAGAGTGGCAGCTCAGGAAAGAATCGCTGAAAAGTACCACAAGTGTTTTTAGCGCTCTCTTTTCTTTTTTTCCCCTTCACTTTTGCTGCGCGATGGGGTCACTAGCACGCAAGACTTTCGTGAGTCGAAGAGAACCCTTCCAGGTAAGCTAAGCCACGGCATGCAGTCCTTCTGCACCATGGTTCACGCCATAGCCGTCCCATCCCCGGCTAGAATTTCCTCGCCTTTGGAGTTTGGACCGGTCTCCCACTGGCACTCAAAAGGCGACCGGCTAATCCACCCAAAACTCGCGGCACTACTGAATGGTGTAGTAGCAATAGCAACCTTTGCTCTACGATCTTATCCTTCTCTCAGTTGTTCTCACCAATGGTAAACCGGTTAAGTTGCACGGGTCAAAGCGACTCGACGGTAAATTCGGGCGATGGTAACCGCTGTGGCTATGACTGTTCCGCGCACCGCGCGCGCGAAGGGGGCAAGTAGCCTGTACGATTGACTACGGAGTCGCTGTTGATTGGGTGGTCTAGCTTACGCACCGGCGCCACTGGTGGCTGTCTGGTGAATCCCACGCCCCTGAACAGAGCGCGCGCCGCGGGCAGTTTAACGACCATCCGTTTCGCACTTGCGTGCACAGTGCGCGGCGTCGTTCGTGTGCGCTCTGGAGGAGGAGGTTTTCCGTAAGAAGAGGCTCAGAATAACGCTAGTCGTACGGGCTCGATGGCTCCATGGGTTCACCAATGGCTTAATTAGAGGCTGGATTTACGCATAATGCATGCATGGTGCAACTGAGGCGTGGAAGAAGACAATGTTCTTTTTACCTTTACCACACGCTTATACCCGGTAGAGAGAGACCTGATGCAAGTTTTGGTTTGGTTTTTCGGCAAGCTAGAACGTACAAGATCGAACATAATATCTAGATCAATAGATCGGGTTGTACACATCCCCGTGAGTTGAATGTAATCGTTTACTTTCTCCAGTATCCCTGTCCCAAAAAGGCCGAGGTGTGTAATAAATACCAACAGCTAGCTCGCGATCGAGGCCCTGCTGCCGCTGCCGACGATCGATCGGGCATGTGTATTATGGAGCAGTGTGGTACTACTATACTACTCCATGCGCACGGAGGTGTGTGCGCATCAATGAGAGCTAAGTCCCTCTCCTCCATGGAGCTAGCTAGCACAGAGTGGTCGCTGCTAACCGTCATACACACGAACGCACAGATGGATGGATGGATATATGCATCCTGAATTCTTGAAGTTTTTGGTTGGTGCAGCTAGGGCCTGCAGACTGTTGAGGAGCTACTGTTAGTAGGACTGGAAGATCTAGCGTACTCCAAGTGGCACGTAGGATTCTTGCTTGCTTCTGCAGCCAAGCCGGCCCTCTCTCCAATCTTCGTCTCTAGATCTCAGTATCTCACGAGCAAGTGATCAACTAGAGCGAACTTGGATTCCCTCACATTCAATATCATAAAAATCCTAGAGGGAAAAGAATAGCCTAGTGCTGTCTCTGCTACGTGGAAAAGAAAACATACTGTCAAGGATGCACGAAAGGAGTAAAAGGCACCTTTGTGGGGGCTAATTCTGAAACTTGGCTTGTAAGACATTATGTGTATGCCCTATTTTTGTGCTATCAAATCTGCTACAATGAATGCTTGTTCTTGCCCGTTATCATTTTTTAGTCAGATACATATGCTTTAACTGCGTTTTAACTGTAAGCAGTAAGGATAGTTCACTGGAAGTCTGGAAATGAACATCTGAAGCCGAGTTTTTACTGTCCTTGAGCAACTGCAGTACCAAATCGTGACTGTTGATTCGAGATCATCCAACGGTCCAAAAGGCGTCGGTACCTCATGGTACCGCACCTCCCATTGACGCGGTACCGTGGTATGGAGGGTAGTTTTGTACTTTCGCGTTGTATACCGATTCACGGCTTCACGCACGCGGCATCTGTTTCTTCGCTGTTTCGCGAGAGAGGAGGAAGCGCTGGGCTGAAGCGAGAGAAAGAACCCTAGATGGCGGCGGGAGGAGGGGCATGTAGCGAATCCTGGATCAGCGACTCGATGGCGGCTAGATCAGGGATGGGTGGAGGTCATCAGCGGCAGGCCCAAATCGGCCAACCGTCGGGAGCTCGAAGATGGTTGTGGCGGCGATTCATCGACGACGGTTAGGGCTGTCAAAAAAGCTCGGAGCTCGCGAGCAGCTCGAGCTCGGCTCGTCGCAAGCTCAGCTCGAGTTCGACTCGGCAAGGATTCGAGCCGAGCTCGAGCTTGTCTCGAAGCTCGCGAGCTCTACCGAGCCGAGCTCGAGCTATTCGGCAGAAGCTTGAAATTTTCACTCCCGCTACCTATCCCAATTTCTCCCGCACTCCAATTCCAAAATCCTACCACCAACAGCAGTCCATCACCTAACCATTTATTTCCCTTATATCCCCATCCCGTATCCAAACCCTAGCTCATTTGCTCTCTTCCTCGAAACATTTCTCTTCTAGATCTACAATCCTAGGCTGCTCTAGTGCTCCACTGACCACTGCTGTGGATCTAGCCAAGCACCGTCCATCCTTCGCCTCTCCTGTCCAGGAAGAACCCCATGGAGGACAGCAGCAGCCCACCGCCTCCGCCGTGAGTGACGAACCGACGACTCGGATCTGAGTAAGTTTCCTCTTCTTTCTTTGTTTTACATTTTTATTTCTTTTGCACCCACATGTATCTAGGGCCCTACATGTATTAATTGTGTAGTGTTTAGTTGCTTGATGGATGTTATTGATTTACATTGAATTTTATGGACTAGGTGGAGACATAGAGTAGTACTTATCTTGCTGTCCTCCTCTTCTGAAGAAAGACTGAAGGTTGCAGAACACCGTGTGTTTGCCATTTGCCAAGGTAAATTGATGGCAATGCTTTTCTTGTTGTACTTGTTTGATTCCTTACCTTGTGCAGAATATATATTGATAGCAGTTGGTATTTTTATTTTTTGTAGATGTCTGTAAACCTGCAAAGACAGCTATCTATAGAGATCGAGTCACCGAGCAATAGGGATGGCATAGCAGCAACAGAAGCACAACCGAATCAGCAGCTAGTACCAGGTGAAGTAAGGGGAGAAGAGGGCCAAGAGGGAAACCCAACTAAAGCCACCAGGAAAAAGAAATCTCCATTGTGGGATTTCTTTGAAGAATGCACTGTGCCATCAAAGAAGAAGAAAGGAGAAATGGAAAATAAGGTCAAATGTAAGGCATGTGAAACTCTGCTCACCAAGAATAGTAGTGGCACTACAACACATTGGCGGAGGCATTTAGAGCAGTGTGATTATCACAAGCTTCAACAAAAATCCATAAAACAACAGAATATCAATTTCCCTAGCCTTGATGAAGGTGATGTTGATCTTGATGCTCCTTGTGTTTCTGTCCCTGGTTATTATGATCCTACAAAGATACGTGAGCTTATTTGCAAAATGATCATTGTCCATGAGTTGCCATTTTACCTTGTGGAGTATACATGGTTTAATGTTTTGCTAAAGAGGCTAAACCCTTCTTACAAAAAGGTCTCTAGAAATACCATTAGAAGTGATTGTATGAGGCTTTATGAATCTGAAAAAGAAAAACTGAAGAGGACTTTCAAAGATGTTAGAAAGATAAGCCTCACATGTGATCTTTGGACCTCTAACCAAACAATTTGCTACATGA